TGGTGTTGAAAATCCGGATGTTGTTCGCGCTTTATGCTGAGTGCAGTAGATCCCCACACTGATTTCATATTAGTGAAAGCCCGTCTTTCTTTTCCGATCCTGGTTTTGACATCTTTGTCTGTGCCGCCTGTGGTTGAAACGATGCTGCCTAGGTAGGTGAAAGAGGCTACTTCCTTTAGGTTTCTCCCACTAATGGTGATTGGTTATGTTGTTGGTGGGTATCTTAATCACCTCTGTCTTCTCTACATTCACTTGAAGTCTAGTTTTCGCTGCCTCACCTCTTCTGCCAACTTGTTGGCTTTCGTCTGTAGATCTTCGAGTGTATGCGATTTTAGACATAAATCATCATCGGTGGCGAAATCCAAATCGTCTCCTCAGGTCTTTTCATCGGTCCCAGTAGCGTATGCCCATCTTCTCGCTCCTCGCGGTTCGCTGCATGATCCAGTCCACCACAATCAGGAAGATCATCGGTGATAGTAGATGATAACCTTGTCTTATTCCTATCTCCACTTCGAAGGCATCACTGGGCTTTCTATTGTGGACCATTTAGCATGTGACGTCTTAATATAGCTGTTGAATAAGATTGATAAAGGTTTGTTGCACTCCGTAGTACTGAAGCAGTTATCAAATTACTTCTCGATCGACGCTGTCGAAGGCCTTTTCATGATGTTTGAAATGAAGATCTGACTCATCCTATGATCTGTTCTATGATGATGTGTAGCGTTGCAATTTGGTCCTCACATGATTTGTTCTTCCTGAAGCCAATCAGCCATCCTTTTCCTTTCGTACTTTGAATAAAACGCATTGTTTAGTCTCTCCAGGATGATTCAGCTTAATATTTTGCTTGGGGTAGACAGTAGAATGATTCCGCACCAGTTCTTACAAAGACTTAGGTCTCCCTTCTTCGGGAGTTCAACAAAATAGCACTTCTTCCAATCGTCAGGTACCTTCCCTTCCTTTCAAACCTTCTGCAGTAGTGGTGTGAACGTGCCTGCTGTTGTCTCTGCGTCTGTTTTCAGTGCTTCTGGTGGAATTCCACCTGGTCCTGCTGCTTTCCCGGATTTCAGCAACTTTATGGTGTTCAGGACTTCTGCTTTTGTCGGAGAGCTTGTGTTCACTGATAGTTCTGTGGCTGGGCTGTTGGTGGTATTTCTGGACGAGTTGCAGGTGGCGATGGTGGTGGTGGTCGATTCAAGAGTTCTTTGAAGTGGTCAATCCATTGTTTCCTTTGTCCCTCCTTTTTGGAAACTAGGTTTCCCTCACTATATTTCATTGGTTTCATCTGCGTTGATCTCTTCACTTCCAGATAATAACCTGGTTATTTGATATATTGTTGTCAGTTCTCTCCTGCCAGCAGCCTGTTCTGCTTCACTTGCCAATGTGTCGTAGAAGTGTGTTTTGCCTTTGTGTGCACTTTTCTTCACTTCTTTGTCCAGTGTGGTGTTTTATAGGTTGTGTTCAGTTCGTCTTTTCGTTGTTCATCCTTGTACTGGTTCATCTTCTGTTTCACCATCATTGCCTCCTGTATCATCTTCCATGCATCCGTCGAGATCCATTCCTCGTCTTGTTTCTTCTGCCTCCCTAACACAGTTATGAACGTTGCTTTCCATATCTCTGTCAAAAGGGTTCGAGTGTTGTTCCACGCAGGTTCCTTCAGGGATGTTGCTCAATGTCTCACATTTTGTGCTGATGACTGGCTGATGTGAAGATGTCCCTTGTAGTTTTGTCCTTCAGTTTCTGGATGTTGAACTTGAACTGTGGTCTATCACCAGATTCTTTGGAGGCTTTCAACTTGATTTTGAAGGTAGGTTGCTTGCACTAGATAGTGAGTGATGTGAACCTACATCTGTTCCCCTTCTTGATCTAGTGTCCAATAGTCTGCGTCTTCACTTTCGTGAGATTGAGATAAGGTCGATATGATACATGGTTTGGGTAATTCTAATTCTCTATCCTTCTTTGTGTTGGAAATGTGGATCATAATATTCCGACCCACTGACTCAATGCTAAGGTGCTGACCACGGAACCTATTGATCGCGGATTTGATCCTTGGCGGGGTCGTGGGTGTGCACTGCCGAGGGATCCCATACTAGGACGAAACGGGTGTCCACTGCTCCTAGGTTTCCAGCGTTCCCCTGACTGGTGTCAGTCGATGATGAAAACCAACTTAATATTACCTCTGGATACACGACAAAACGAAGTATGTCGTAACTAAGGCTTGCTTGGCTCTACTCATTTGATTACCATCCACCTTTTCATCGTTACTGCTGACTGGCTTTTGTATTCCAGATGGCGTGTATCTTAGTGCCATTGATTAAAACTTGTGTTTTGGACGGAAATAAAAATTCATTTATTGGTTTTATCCGGTTAAAGTCTACCGAAAGAGAAACAGAAGTCCAGATTCGCAAATAATAAGTTCGCATATGTAGTGTGTAGATCTCAAGATTGTGAGATCTCTATTGTTTGTCGTAGTTTGATCCTATTCAGTTCTGAACTGATTAATTCGTAATCTTCATTATAACTTACAAGTATTTAATTTACATATTGTCTAACTACTACATAGTAAATAGTGTCAGATAGCAGACTTATTGGATATTTTACTTAAGTGGCATGTTCCTCAAGGATGCAAGTGCATCTACAGTGATAATACTAAATTTTCATATCATAGGCAATCGTCGTTATTCATCTTCATAGTTTATGCAACGTTGACCTTAAACTACGTGGTACGGGCGTGGTAAAGTATCATAGAGGACTGGATTGTGGATAGAAGTATACCAGTCATTGGCTGTCACATAAATGTTTCTTCTGATATTATGCTGTCATATATATTAGACACGTTATAAGCTCCTATAACAGCTACATATCTTGCGTTTCTTAACACTGACTATACCAAGTTACTCATTGAAATTTCCACATACTTTTTTCCTTTTATGTTCTCTATGCCTCAATAGCTCTCATTCTCCATTCCTTTAAAATTTCTCCTTTGCTAAAAATTTGGTGTATTTATGCCTATTTAGAATATTTAATATTTGCATTTATGAACAATTTATGATACTGAAACTGGATTCATTTACTCTAGAGTTGAGTATGCTGTTTGGATGCAGTAAGTTCAATGCTCATTTATTCGTTGAACCTGGATATAAGGTCATTTTTAAGACCCAAGAAAGCTTCTCTTTTCAGTCATGCATTTGGTGGGGTCACATTCAGGGTTTCCTTGCATTTTTGAAAATGAAATCGATATTTCGGTTCTAGCGGCCTTTTTCCTGTGGATATGAATATAGGAAATAAATTATGTCCGAAACGCGATTTAATAAACATAATTGTTTCACTGTGGGATACATCTAATTAAAAGACTAAAAAGGAATAATAATCTACCACAGCGCCGAAGTTCTACTCACATACTAAGATATCTCGTTTTATCAATGTTAGATTTAGCCGAAATTAATTACTATGCTATGCCAAAATAATTCTTTCTCATCTTTTTGTCACCTATTCGTCCACAGATTAGTACCCATGTATAACTAAGTGCAATTTATTATCCTGAAGAATCTTTACAAAGCTTCATCCAATAGTTCTCCCGTCTCCAAATAAGTGCTTAGGTAGGGTTGTTAGACGTCTATTTATAGAAGAGACCTGTATAAGAAACTTTGTAGCTATTTGTTAAGAAGATATGAATTTTATGCTGAACATTTTGTCCGCAACATTTTTTCTCTAATATCTATCAATTTCGAACAAAGTTTATGTGTCGATTTTTCTATTCATATTGCCAACTAAGCCTGGATATAGCTAAACAGTAGTTTACTGTCAGTATACTGCTCTTTTCACATTACTTGTTAATATTATAATCTCTATATGTTGTGTGTCAGATTGAATAAGTGGACCATTGGTCAAGACCATCATTCTAAACTCGTTGCAAAAAGACCATTTGAATGAAATATCAATGCAATCTATATGCATTTAGTTATTAACCTACTCAGTAATGTATATACCTATTGAATTCATTCGAGAAATACAGTGTTGATTTCATGTAGTTGGTGGATTTAACGAAATTTTTCGCTTACTTTTAACGTTTTAACGCTCGTCTGTTAAGTATGGCAAATAGTTAGTATGGTAATGTTCACATGAACTGCGCAGAAAAAACATTTATAAGATTATGCATGGACCAAAAAGCCTGATTGACATAGTTTGCAATTGAGATGTAATTAGCGGTTAATATGGTTTTTCTGAATCACTAAAAAAAGTTTACTATCCAACAATTAACTAGGGATGCCAATGTGGTATTTTCATCAAAACGTCCACTCTTTTGGAAGTGTTATTGATCGATTTTTAACAATATCCTATTTCTTCAATTCATATTTTATCATAACAATACAATGCGACCATTCCGATAATTGTTCAGTATCGGTCACCTTAACTCAGTAAGTATACAAAGTCACGATTGACACAGATTGATAAATACTCGAACACTGCATCGTATTTATTGCTTCACAAGTATTCTGACCTTTTTGTCAGTATTGATTGTCACTTACTGGTACTAATTTGAGTGTGGATACATTCGAGTGCTAAACTTCCATGTCATTTAAAGAGATATGTGTAAAATGATCAAGGGTTGAAGATTGAAATTAACCAGTGTTATTTTTTTTCCTACATTATAAAACAGTGGAAAGTAAAACTTGACATTCCTGGTATTGCTTCACCTTCTAAAACTATATAAATTCAACTAAATAGACAAACTTTATGCAATTTTGTGCATTGCTGATGAATCAGACCACTGATTGTTAGTTTATACACTGAAGTTAGTTATCTACATCCATAACCAACTTTATTTTTATGGTTGAGTAAAAGTTTACTAAGAAATCTACTAGTGACAGTTTCCTAGTTTTTAATTCTGAATGCTTTGTTTTCCAAGTGAAAGTATATTTCGCATAATTCCATACAAACGTTTAGTACCTGTCATGGACTGAGAGAAAGAACCATTGAAAATCTGGGAGTGCTGGACATCTGTTTCGTCCTAGTATGGGACTCCTCAGCAGTAAGCACCCACTACCACCAGACTAGGACGAAATAGCTGTCCAATTCTCTCAGGTTTTCAAAGGTTCAGTTCGTGATGAATACTACCTCTAAATTAAAGTCCCCATTTATCCCAAAAATACATTATAGTACTTGTGTTTAACGCAATTTACGCTATTCTTACAATACTTTCAATTTTCAATCATAGATTATGGCCACTAACTCCTTATCTGTAGAGGATAACAAAACCATTACAGTATCATCCCCTCCCTTAGATCTTACCAATGAGGATCAAATGATTACGAACTTTGGTTCCAGGGATGCAGCTGAATCTGGATGCCTCAAAAAGACTAGTAAAGAAGGTATGTTATTATTTCTTCTCGTCCTTCCTTATTGCTTTAGTCCCAACTGAACTTTATATTCTGAAGACTTTGAATTACATGATTCAGACAACTCATATTCTACTGTTCTGTCGAAACTTGAAGGTTTAATTTATCAGTTACTTATCTGTGAAAAAGGCTTTTTACCACTTTGTACTTTTGAATAGTAAAAATGGTGGTGAGATAAAAAAATAAAACATTTCGTTCTAGTTAAGTACCGTTATCTGAGTGTACCTGCCTCTCCGTTTGACGTTATTCTTAAAGAGAATCATCGAGCACCAAAGCACTTTCCATTGGACTAACCTTAGAACAGTGTTAACCTATACAACAGTACCGTCAGATCAGATTTTAAGAGAATACAAATGTCGTCAGTGAGAATCTGATGAACTGTAGAGAAGTAACTGCATCAGTGCCAGCCATTTCAGTACAAACAAAAATGACCATCGACCAATGATATTAACTTATCCAATTACTATGTGTATTTGGATAATCTGAAGGAGCTTTACTAAACAGTGCAGGGCTAATGTCAAATTCATTACATTCAAGAGCAATCTACTATATGGGATGGTAAACACTGCTAGTTTATGAACATTCAGGTCTATTCGATAGCTGAGAATCTAAGTTATTTCAAAAATCGGATTAGTTTCATTTTGTAATTATATAGTTTATTAATCACTTTATAAAACCGCCTTAAATAGACTGTAATAGTAAGCAGTTCATTTTCATTGTTCAGCAAGCACTTGGACATTCGCAGTTACACAATTACTCTAATAAGCTGAGTTACTCTACCTGGATACTGCAGTTTCGTTTGTTATTTTAGCATTATTAGAATTGAGGGCAAATGTTTTAATTGTATAAATCTTAAACTTAATACTGTCTACAATTGTAATAATGTCACTGAAAAGTTTACATGTCTGTCTTCAACCATATTATTGACTTGATTATTTCGAAAGCAAAAGCTAATCATTGTTGCAAACTAACGATGAGACTGGTCAAAAAAAAATTGTTCTTTCACATTAATAACTTTAGGTTTGCATCCAGTTTTTCTATCTGTTCAGTTTTAATAGACAAGTGTCATGTGATTGTGTCCAGGCCACTTTAAATAATTGGAATTGCTTTATTAGCCAAATTTTGCCTGTTAGACTTGTATAATGTCTGTATATTTTGCCTGGCTAGATTTTTTCCAGCCTATAGAGAACACCCAATGTTTGTACCACGTGCTTTAGATTTTGTCCAATCAAAATAACAGGAATGAAGTAGAATCTATATTGTTTGCCAATCATATACTTCGATCAAATAGATTTGTCTACTATCTCAAGATTTCCTTTTGTGACCTACGCCTAGAGGTAAAAACTCAGTCGTTTGCCTTGACAACGCATCCAGATCCGTATACGAATATTAGCCTGATTATCACTTAAGTGGAAAACACTCTGTTTAGAATTTCAGGAGTTATTTCTACGATGGTGCTTAGTTTTGCCAAATATTTTTTTAAAAGACGAATGGGGATTTTTAATTTATAGGTAGTATTCATAATGGACTGACACCAGCTGGGGAACTATTGGGAACCTAGGAGCACTGGACCACTGTTTCGTCCTAGTATGGGACTCCTTGGCAGTGCGCACCCATGACCGGCTAGGGATCGAACTCAGGACCGTCAGGTTTCACGATGAACGCGTTAACCATCCAGTTACTGAATCGGTTTTCGGTGGTTCACAATTTCCAACTTCTGTCCATTCACGATATACCACGACTGTCACCCAAGGTCTTCAGTTGGCATCAGCTTGACTTATGACTGATTGACCCTACTGGTCATGGCTTCTCATCAGAGCTTCGTGATATCCATCTGGAAGCAAGTCACTAATGACCATTATACAGTAATGAAGGTCCTGAGTTCGATCCCGGCCAGGTCGTGGGTGCGTACTGCCGAGAAGTGCCATACTGGGACGAAGCAGATGTCCAGTGCTCCCAGATTTGCAATGGCTCCCTAATTGATGTCAGTTCATGAAGAATACTACTTCTAACAAGAACAAATAAATTACTATTCTGATGTATTCGGATTGAATTACAAAGACAGTTGACATGCATGGTTTATTTTCAATTTCTTGATAAAGTACTGTTTACTATCGGTTGTCAGTCTGTGATGTAGAAATTTTATCTTCAACCCAGTGATTACGTGTTTGAATTCTGTTCTATCTTCTTTGTTTTCAGTAATTATTTAGTCTTATTTAACATTCATATACCTTCATGGTAAGTCTGATTAACAGTTTATCACAATGCGATTTGTATGCACAGAGTATATTTTAGTTATAATGCAACCTCCATATTAAGAAATATTGTTGTTTTAAATGATCGAATTCTGTTTGAGCGAGTGAAAATTGTAATGAAGAAATAGAATGCTGATTGGTAGGTCTTGTAGTAGTACCTATCTTTCTCTCTTTATCACTTAGAAGTAATTAATGTTACTCGAACATAAACAGTTCTGGGTAACTTGCGTAGAGTTTTCACGTATAGTGATGACAACGAGTGATATTTGTAAGGAGATACACAAAATCTTATTTTGTATCAAACTTCATAAGTTTTCCGTTTTTGGAAGTTCATTTTGGGATGTCCAGCCTTTATATGATTGACCTGCCATTGTAAAACTTTGGAATCCACTTGAAGTTTATAAACATTAGTATCCTATCATGAGAGAGGTAGTTGATAAGATGCATAATCTTCTGAACTCATCACACAGAAGTTCGAGTGTTTTTGATAAAATATTTACTTAGGGAGTTTTGTAAACAATGGTTAACTTATGTTCATCTACAGTGGCAGTGAAATATTTGTATGCCCATGAACTCATCTTAACTGCCTTCTACTCTGTCTTACCTCATGGTTGGATGACATAACCATTGGAAAGCGGAAGATATTTTACAGCTACACGCATTTGACTACACATACTCTAGTGGTTTTAGTCCCATTTGGTGAAGCTATCGAATGAGCAACTTCACGGTTAGGTACTGGCATGGAAAGCAATTCAGTCGATACGGTTGTAAACTTTTATTTACGTGTGACTGCAGTATGCTGTTTATACGGTATCACTCACGTGTGAATACAATATGATCAGAATAAGAAATGTTATAGATATGTCGAATCAGAAACTATTAGTTTGTTTAGTGTGTTGCAAGGTAGCCTTCCTTGCTTTATTTGTTGATACATAAAGAAAATATGACTGTAGATCATAAGTGACGTAGCAGAAGATGACATGTCGGAAACGACATTGGATGTAGGTCGCACAATACTGATAGAAGTAGGAAATGTGGACCTCTGGATTCTGACCCAGTGGCTCGATGGTAATATGCTGGCCACGGAACCTGAACGCCCTGGGTTCGTTCCCTGGCGTGATCATGGGTACGCCCTGTGGATGAGTATCGTACTAGGATAAAATAGCTGTTCAGTACCCCCAGGTTTCTAATTTTCCTCCAACTGATGTCAGTCCATGATGAATTCCGACCTCCACAAAACCTCCAGACGACATTTCTGATCTTCCTTGGAACCTTGGGGTCTCTTCACTACATATTCACTCTTTGTCCACTTGTTTCCTTGATTTGATTGCCTTTAGTTTTTACCCTTTTTTTGGATAATCTTCATTTTTTTATTCTTTTGAGTTCTTATGTGTAACACCGGAGTCAAAAAGCAAAAAAGCCACTTGGATTCCTCAGATTTTCTGTCTGATTTATATTTTTTTGGGTGAAGTTATATTTTTTGAAACTTATGTTTTAAATATTATATAAATAAAATAAATATTAGTGTAATCAAACTTTATTTTTTATTTATTTAAGCTTTGTATGCCTTATATGTTCAATTTTCACATCATTTACAGATCCTTTACTAAATGAAAACAATTGCTGCTGTTCAGATGGAAGTAACAAAGAACCCGAAACGTTTTCAACATCGTTCGCAAATAGTAAAAATACTCCTTTGTGTATAGATATATCAGCATCTGAATTGAACATAATCCCATCTGCAGATCAGTCAATCTCACACTGGCGAAGACTGAAAAAGCGTTCATCAGACTTAACTACTGCACAAACTAAGAATTCAAGCACTTCGAGTACTCCTGGATTTCAGATTACTTCAATCATTACAACTGCTATGAACTGTGAAGCCAATTCCATCCTTACAACGTCTACACGCACTAACAATGCTTGCCATACTACTGGTTATGACAATGCAGAGATGTCTAATTCTGGTCTAGAATTAAAAAGTAGTTGCATGTATTCAAAATTCTCATCTTCAACTTCTTCCATTGTTCCGTTGGCCAGTAGTTCTCGATTGGTAAATCCAGAAAAGTTTGGTCCAACAAACCCAAAGTGGATATCATCCAGTTCTACTGGGACTCCTATTGCATCTGCATTAACAACAGCAATGAATATGCAGCAAAGATTCAAGAAAGTAAGACAGTTTTGTTGCATGGCTAGAATAAACTGTTATACAATAAGATTTTCTGTAAATTAATTTGCTGCCCAATCTAATAGCGCTTGAGTCTTGACGATAGTGTGTATATATGTGGTAAAATATGATATAATTATATTGCTGTTAAAAGAATATACCACTGAATAACTTGAGTATTTAGAAACATCTTGAGCTGCAGATCTCCCCAGCCAGATCAGAGCTATGTAAACGATGGACGACCGTTTCACCTATTCTGAGCCGAGCTCATTAATGGTGTACTCGGAAAAATTCACTTCACGGAACCGAAATACATTCAGTAACCACTGATACTCATGCACAGTAGGGCATGAGCCATACCCATTGTATAAGGGTTATTGAAACCATCTAGCTGTCTAAACTTCAGTGGGTGAAGTGGGGTTTGAACTAATGACTTGTTGTTTGAAAGTCATGGGTCTATACCAATGAGCCACAGTTTCACAAGCCAAGAATCAGGGAGATATGAGATAAGTTCATAATGTAGTAGTTAATACTTGATTACATCCTGATATGCTATGATTGTACAATTTCCCGACTATTCGGTGTGTACTTTGATTGATTATACATTTTTGGTTTACTATTTAAATTTGATGATTTAAAATTACTTATTGCAAAATTTCGTACTCATTATTACATTACACCACTTCCATAGGCCCATGTTTTCACTTAGATGATAATGTTCCACTAACATATATAGGTACTTTTTATCTTGTGTTATCTGAATTTCCCACCCTATTCTTAATACTCCTTTCCGTTTGATTATGTATTCATATTTCATCTTCAGGGGATGTTGTCAAAACACCAAATGGTGTAAGGAAAAAATTCAATGGAAAACAATGGCGCCGTTTATGTAGTCGAGAGGGTTGCACTAAAGAGTCTCAGCGACGAGGATTCTGTTCTCGTCATCTATCTATGAAGGTAACATTTTTCTGATGAATTAAATGGTTTCATATTTAATCCTGGTTGTAACGCTTTTTCGCATAATCAGTTCTAGACATACTTTTTAAAAATTTAGTTATGGATCGTTTGAACACTCCACTTTGTTTAATGCTCGATTATCTAAGAATTTGTTCAGAAACTACTCATATCAGTTTCGGTATTTTCTCCATATCTTAGTTATTCTTCTTCCGTTGGGTAGCCTTCAGTTTTCATAGTAGACCAAAGTGTAACTGGTTTACTGAGTATTTTGCCGAGCTGTCGTACAGATGAAACTCGTATATGTTGTTACTCAGACAGCCATCTATTTCCGGGCAGCATGAACTTCAGAAATAAAGAAAGATTGTCTGATGTGACATCCATCGACCTCAACTCAGCAGTGGACACAGACAAACCATATTGTTATCAGTTATCACTAGAGAGGGTCGGTGGAAGATCGCCGCTCCTTCTAGAGCAAGTGTTTGGCTAGCGATCACGCGTTGCTCCGAGTTTTCCTATTTCTTTGCCTAAGTAGACGTAGAAAAAGTACAGCAACCAAGTGCAGGTCAACGATGAGATTACCGAAGCTGGTTTCTTCTTGGAACTGGGTAGACAGTCATCGGAACAGGGTGATGTCACCCATTAGGAAGAAGCCTGCCTTTCTCCACTCTGTTGTAAAAACAGCATTGAATGCCGTAGCTAGCTCTCAAAAAGTGGTCAGTGCAGTCAAACGAGAAGCCTATGTAATGAGCATGAACAGCAGTGGACATCGAAGGCTGAAGAGATGGAAAAGGCAGTAGTGATAGATAACAGTAGACAATTATTTCGACTTATTGAGGAAATTGGGGCGAAAAGGTCAACAGTTAGTGAAACTATAGAGGAGAAGGATCGGTCAGGAATTCACTCGCTGAGGAGACGATTTAAACGATGGGCAGGACACTGAGGAACTGTTGAACTGGCCTTCAACTAATATTCTGTTACCCTCTATTTAGTCTGATCCCGAATCAAATATGGAGATAAAATTCCGAACATATTTATAGAAATCGAGAAAGAGGTAGGTAACCTGAAATACGGAGATCCAGCAGGGTCAGACGAACTGGTGCCAGAGCTATTTAAGGACGGTGGTAGGGCATTTTTGATCAACTTAACTGAACCGCTGACTAGAGTTTGGAAGTCAGATACGATCCCCTCCGACTGCTCTCAACTACTTATTGTTGTTCATTTGTTCAATTTTTCAAGAAAGGTGAGAAATTCTCTTGTGATAACTATAGGCGAATCAGCCTGATGAACAGTGTCCAAGATTCTAGGTTTTATAATAATTAAATATCTGGGTGAAGCTCAGAAACAACAAACACACGAAAACCAGGAAGGTTTCAGACCTAACCGTGGATCTGTCGATCACATATTCCCTTTTCATCAGGTTCGGTGGCACAGGTACACTTACCGGGACTAGCAGTACTTCTTAATTTAAAGGCGGCATTCAACTTCGTCGACTGAGAGATCTTATGGCAGTGTCTTTCACTGAAAAGAGCACCGATTAAGTACATCACTCTACTGAAGGCTGTGTACTCGAATACCTGTGAGCGCGTTAGAGTTTATGTTTACTTGTCAGATGAATTGTGTGGTTCAAGTAGTGTTCATCAAAGATATTCATTACTCATCACTTATATCCCATATTTATTTCACTACCTTTCAATTCATGCTGATTCTTGTTTCTGTTCTGTTGCGAAGTTCAGGAACTTAAACTCACTTATTTTCATACAGTGTTCATTACCATTATATCTATCTGAAAAGAAAAACTAAAACATTTGTTCAATATACTCTTGAACGATATTGATATAAAACTGTAACTATTCTGTAGAATACTTTAATTTTTTTTTCAGCACTGAAATCTACTGTGAAATAAAAAAAGACAAGTTGTTATTCATCGAAGACTGACATCAGTTGGAGGAACAAAGGAAACCTGGGAGCACTGGACAGCTGTTTCGTCCTAGTATGGGACTCCTCAGCAGTGCGCACCCACGACCCCACCAGCAGGGATCGAACCCGCGACCTTCAGGTTCCGCGGCCAGCGCGTTACCATTGAGCCACTGGGTCAGAATCCAATGCTCCATATTTACAACTTCTGTTAGCTCACGATATAGGGTGACCGCCACCCAATGTCATCGTTGAGTATCTGTCCTCACGGCCATCAGGCTTTGACTCCACCGGTCACGACTTGTCATTGGAACTTCGGGAATACTTCTCGAAGCTAGTCACCAATGAGCATCAGTTCAATTAAATTTTTGAGGGGTTGTGGAGATTTGGGTGGGTGCGCACTGCTGAGGAGTCCCATACTAGGACGAAACAGCTGTCCAGTGCTCCCAGGTTTCCTTTGTTCCTCCAACTGATGTCAGTCTTCGATGAATAACAACTTGAAATATTTCCAAATCTCCACAACCCCCTCAAAAATTAAAAAAAAGACAATTAAGTTTTGTAAAATTTGCCGATTTTCTAGGGAATAAATAAGATTTAAGACATAAACAGTACTTAATTGCTAATTGTTAGTACCATCTCATCCCTTTGCTGTAAGTTTGTTGACTAGCCTTCGAACAGGAAGACAATAAGTCACATTAATGTAAGTATAGAATTTGAGCACTGTGGTAGAATGTAATTTCTTATTAAACTGATCTATTTGATAAAGTATACTATGATGTAGTATTATTTACTAGATGATGTTTCAAACAAGATTTATTACTTATAATCACATAATATCACCATAAGCTATATCAGACAGACTTATCTAACATGGGATCTTATCTTATTGTTTATTGGTTGACACCAAAATCATACTCTTCATCGACTTTCAGGTACCGTTATACAAAGATAACGGATTAGAAAGATATCTATAAATATGAGTACTATGAGAGGATAATATAGTGATATTTAATATCATTAATATAAGTGAAAAACTTGGGCACTGTGGTAGAATGTAGTTCCATATTAGATTTGTTTATTTGATATAAATTAAATAATACTGTATCACTGTGCGCTTTATATCAAATAAACAAATCTAATATGGAACTATATTTAATATCAGTTTGATTTTTCTTATGAACTGATACATTAGCAAATTTTCGATGTGTTTATTTTTTAAAAAGATGAATATTTTACTTCAATGCCTAGTTTTCCAACTTATAATGAAGTCTAAAATTATTTGATATGAGAATGAAAAATAAAAGTAGATGTTAGTTGGTTGGAGGCAATTTGTAGGAAGCCCTGGACCTGGGTTACGTGCTTTTTGGTACTCGTCAGCAAGGCGTATCTGTAACCTTGACGGAACTGATGTCCCGCCTGAGATTCGAATCCGCGTCACCCAGTGTTGTAGTCAGCGGCTTTACTACTGAGCTGTTCGGGTCGCGATTGACCTCCTGTAGGGACTGGCTTACGTGTATTAATTGGTCACGGGAATGCAACCAATTTCATGTTATCTAGTTCTGAGTGCAGACCGAATCCTATCGATTATATTTGCAATGTAGCGACCAAGCTAGGAAGCTCATTATCTCAGTGCACATTATTAGCTGTTAGTTGGTTGGAGGCAATCGGCAGGAAGCCCTAGACCTAGGTTTCGTACTTTTTTTGTGTTCATCATATTTAAGTTTTGAAAAGTGAACAGAGGATCAGCGTATATTCTTTTCGATAATTTGAGCAGTTATAACTTGAAATAGCTTGATGGTGAAGTTTTGACTTTTTCATTGAACGAAACTAGTTTAAGATCTACTAAGAAAAGTGAATTTGCTTAGAGGTTGCAGGTAAATTTTCTCGACTTCCCGTTGGTTACATCTCACGTTGTTAAATAGTCTTTACAAAGTTTGTAGTAATCAATGTAAATGCTTTACTAGAAAAGTTAGTTGGTTCAAATCGGTGGTGAATCGGTGAATCAGGTTATTTTGTTCTAAATAAATATTGATTGGCTTTACTTATCCTGATGCTCAGATTTCCTCACTTCTTTTTTTTGTACAATACTGACTACTGATTTTTTACGCTAAAACGTTTTAAAATTTATTCTATGAAACAATAACTTTTATGCCTATTTATTTCAACTATAGGGAAAGAAATGCGTGTAATGGGTTACGCTGCTGCAGTGGCTGCTTTAAATTCTACGGAAAGTAAATATAATGCATCAAGTATATCGAAAGAGTCTGGATCAAACCAGCATAAATCATATCCATATACATCTACAGGATTAATGTCTTTACCACCATTATTATCATCTACGTCATCATCATCGTTGTTTATTACACCTTCACTTTTCTCACCATACAAATTAACTTCTTTTTTATCATCACCAATGACAACAACACCAACAAACATATATATGAACAGAGCAGAAACTCTCTCATCAACATCTACTGATTCTGTGGGGGTGAATTCACTGTCAACAGTTGTCCCATCACAACAGTCATTACCTTCTCATCCATTGGCTTCAGTTCATTCTAATACTCGTTTTAATGCTGGCATAGTACCGGATACTGTTGGAATACAAGCTGGCTCAATGTCTTTTCCAAGTATGTTGACCGTATATATTTCTCACTGATTAGGTATTTCTTCATTACATTGAAAATTAATTGCTTTCATCACCGTTTATCTCTAGTAGTTTCACATAAATTTATCCTATCTATAGTCAAATGAGATACTATACACTATTTGTCCTATAAATTTTATAGTAATGTAGAGGAGTTCGATTGAATATTGTCAATCAAAGGATAATTTCTGAAATCAATTGAAGACGACTGTGTAAATCTGAAATAATCACAATTGATCACAATCCCCGGAAATTATTCAAATAAATATGCATTTACTGATTTATTATGATATCATTTCAATTACTGGTCATCTAGCAATAAGCATAATGTTACAGTTATTTTTTTCAGATACAGATGTATACATTACATTATCTTCCTCTTAATCTCTATGCTGAAATCAGCATTTTCTCATATCTTTCTCTCCTTTACTCCTTTGACTGAATTTTATTTCTTTCTTCATCCTCCATTTTATAGTTTTCTTACTTGATGTGCTGATATGAGGTATGGTAACTTGAACCGTTGTACAGTAATGCCTGGCTGTATATTGATATTGTTGATGATCATCATTATAACTCATCTGAAAGAAATTATTTTTATGATGTTGCATTTTGCTTTCTGTAAATTATTTCATAATACGCTACATATTTCGTCTTTCTGGTCAACAAAGAATTGGTGGTGGTTGTGATGATTCTTAGTTCTTGACTATGAGATCACAAATTCAAACCATATCTTCCTATCTTCCTTGTGATTAATAGTGTCGTAAGAGGTGTGATTTCGCCTAATGCACTAAGAAACCTGCTGTTAATTTTATAACATAAAATAAATTTAATCATTTTTATTTCATAGTTCACTAAAACTATACCCGATACTTTACTGCTGGTTGCAAATTTTCACTTTTTATTATATTTGTGATGATGATTTTAAAATACATATTTTGCATTTGGATTCTTTGTTGAATGCCTTCAACTTTTCATGTTTCGATCATTTTAACTTAGCTTATTTCAATTTCACCTCAAAATTTTGTTCTGTTTCAGATCCTGAATTGACGCCTGTATTTTTCAATGCTTCTATGCAACCAATGTCTTCAATCCCTACTCCACTTGCTCTACTACCTATTCTAACTGATACTATACCAGTGGCTGACAACTCTATGAGAAACCAAAGTACATCAGGATTCTCTTCCAATGGCCCAGCTGATCGCTGGCAAAATCCACATACAAGTGAGAGTGAAAATAAGAATCCTAACAAGGATCATCGTGAGGATGATTACAAAGACTCCAATTATCATGAATCCAATAATCACCACTGTAAAACACTGCTGTCTCATTTATCTGAAGAAAATGATGAGGAAGATATCAAAGCGAAAAATCATTCTGATGAAACAGGTAGAGTATTAGAAATTTCAAATGGATGGATGCATGGTATTGTTTATTTCATAAAATAGCTAAGTAGCTCTCTTTGTAAATTGAGTATTTTACCATGAAGAGAAGCAAAAACTTTTCAAGTTGACACTCATCACGCACTGACATCATTTGGAGAGCCATTGAAAACCTGAAAACACTACACTTATGTTCCTTCCTAGTATGAAACATCAACAGTTCGTACCCATAATCCAGCGAGTGCATCGTCATTGAGTCATTGGGTCCAATGGTTCACGTCTTCTTTCTTCTATCATTTTGAGATATAGAAACTTTTTTTCTTTAAAAATGTGGTCACTATGTTTAGGTGTTTCAGAAATCTTGTGGCTAGTGTTTTGCTCTCAGGATTCCGTTCGTACTGATTGATTTTCAGTTTTAATTACCACTAAGGACCATTTTTAAACACAAGGTTAGTTTTACTCAGTGTTCCATCTGACATTCGATCAGGAGGAAAGTTGTTCCAAAAGGTTTTCCTAGTTTCTGGTTGTGTTGTTTCTAGTACATATTTTGTTACACCTTAATAAATCATCGTGTTCATGAAATAATCAAATACTAAGAATTATTTTCGTGGATAGTAGTTGGTTGGAGGCAATCACCAGGAAGCCCTGGACCCAAGTTTTTTACTTGTCGGTACTCCATGACAAGGCGTATTTCCAACCTGGAGGGAACTGATGTCCACTATGAGATTTGGACACTCGTCATCCAGTATTGCAGTGTTTTTGACCTCATTCTCCGTAAATTTATTGATTGAGACTATGAAATGTGACCACTGTTACTTCGGATCGTGTTTTACTTAGGGTAATTGATAAGGATGCACTTCGTTTATTGTAAGTACTTCATACATTACCCAATATTCTTCATACGAAGGGGACTGTTGTGTTTCTGAATACGAGAAGAAGAGTACTTTAGCGATGTTGGTGTCCGCGGGACAAGAGAAACCAGTGGTTGGCGACTCTAGGTTATATAGCTCAGAACCGATGTCATTGGCGCAGATGCATACACACATTATTCATACCTTAACCGCTATACTTGGTCTCATTATCTCTTCATTCTTCCTTTTTCTTTTTTACTACTTTCTACTTCTACTTTCTTTGATTGACTTTTCTTTCTTCTTTAATATTGCCTTTTTGCTTGATGTACTGATGTGAGGTGTGGCGACTTGGACCGTTACGCAGTTGTCTGGTTTCTATGTTGACCTTGATGATGATGACTTTGTAGATGGCCTATATGTCACTAATACTCAATTACAATCCAGCTTGAATCTATGACTCATCGACCAAGATGCTAAGCTTTTAATCTGAGTGTTGCTAGGTTGAGACCAACCACATCTAATTAGTTTTCTGCAGCCATGGTATATTGTCAGCCCTAACATATGTATGGACCATAGCCTGCTTAGTTAATCCGTGCACAGTTACCGAGTATATTAGCACATCACTTAGCACGTGATGTTTATCAAAGCACAGATAGACTGGTTAGATCATCAGAAGTTAATGACAGCCAATCTAAGTCTTGTTAGGAGCTACATGATTCTTACAGTATCTACTATAGACGAATTCAGTTTTTATGGATATACGGGAATATTAGATAAATGAAATTTAATTGCAATGACTCAGTTACATTCACTTTTATCCTCTTTAATGTTTCTTGCTACTTTCCATTAGCATTAACTCTTGTTTGCTTATTGTTTTTCTGTTTCCTACTATGGACCTCGATAATTTAAATTTATGCCAGGTTCTGCACGACATTTCCGGATCTCGGTTCAGTTTAAAGTATAGATCTCTTAGAATAACGGAAAATTGTATAGCAAAGTTGCTTGTTTAGATGGATATGTGATCTTAGTTAACGCGGTTGATAACGAACATTTGAAACTATCTAAATTCCATCAGCTAGTATAATATTGCGACCATCATCCAATGTCATCCATCGTCACTCATAACTTCGTTGATGGCCAACAACTTATTGGAACTTTAAAAAAACCCATCTTAACGCTAGTCAGTAATGGACACTTCATTGTTATTAAGTTATTTGGTTAATTGATTGAAATCAACCAATACGTCAGTATATCAAGTAATCATAACCTAATTCACTTGATATGCATGAACTTTCACTATGATTGTAGACTGTCCAATGATTACATTCGCCATCTCGATGCTGAGCTGTCTAATCTAGTAGTCACATTGCAAAGCGAACTCGGTCAGCACTTAGGACTAGACAACATGAAGTTGGTTACTCTCCAGTGACCAATCAGTGTATCTAATCCATTCTTACGGGTAACGTCACTGACTTCAACATTGGGTGACGTGGGTTCAAATATCAGGTGGAACATCAGTTCCTTTGGGATTGGGGCTATGCCTTGTTGACAAGTGCCGGCAAGGACGAAACCTAGGTCCAGGGCTTCCTATCGATCGAACTTTGAAAACCTAAGTTACCACATTATTGGTTGGAAGGAAGGACAAGGTATGCATTTGATAAAGAAATCATCGTTTATCTTTATTTTTTTTTCATTTCCCCCATTTTTTAAAAAGCTTTATTTTCTGCTTTGTCATAATGCAGATTGTTTCCAAATTTCTGATCAACTTGATAAACAGACATTACCTGAGGCATTAAGTAGTTATGTGGTAAGCAAAAAAACCATTTTATGTTAATTATTTTATATATTTATCTATTATATCTGATAATAATGCTGAGTGACACTCTGGAAATGTATGGTTAACATTGCATTATGATTCAAAAATACAGAATTTCAGATAAAATATGACAAGCCTCTAGATTATATAACTCAAGGAATCATTATCCAATAATCCAAACCATACAACGTCAATGAATTGATAACATGTTACATATTTGATTGTTATTAAGTATTTTTTTTGAAATCTGGGAATTCTGATTCATGCAGCTCTCGTTTTGAATTTTAGTCAGACCCTCTACCAGTCTATTAGAAATACTAGCAGAATGACTACTGAAACTCGTTTAGATTGTACATTATCAATTTACACTCTCTGACGAGGAAACATTATCTGGGTGACCGGGAAGGAATTTACTGTAATTGTATCTGTTCGTAAAGACTATAACAATGAAAACAGCTGGAGAAAAGCGCGTTCAAATCGTGTCGAAGAAACGATTGTGTCTAACCTTAGCGTTCAAGGGAGATGCAGCTGCAGAAACGCTGACACTGAAACTCAGAAATCCGATACAAAAAACCTTTTTTTATCACCACACTGTGTTTGAAATTTACTACTTCCTGTATTATGCCAATGTAGTTCAAGGATAGCTTTCCGAATCTGGCCACATCTATGTGCATTCATAAATTTAATTGCTCCTATGGAGATAGTTACATAGGCAGAACGACTCGACAAGCCCACCATCGCTTCATTGAGCACTATCCAGAGTGGTTAGGCAAAGAAATAGTGAAATCCGTCAAAAGCCCAATACTCACCCATCTAGTAGATACTAAGTATAAGATTAACAAAACCTCAGCACTTACCGTTATTTACAAAGTCCCATCACAATACTCCAAGTTTGTGCACCTTCGATTGCTAAGCATAGCAGAAGCGATAGCAATTAAAATTTACAAACTTAATTTATGTATTCAGAGGTTGTTTGTTCGTTCCCTTTCCCTCCCATGGCCTTCAACTCCAACCCAGATACAATTGCAGTAAATTCCTTCCCGGTTACCCGGGTAAATGTAAATATTATCTCTGTTCGTACTCTTATCATTATGATTTTATCTTAACTTTTCGCCCTTAGTTTCATAATTGATTAGGAATTTTAACTTTTTATTATCTAATCGCTGTGTGACAATAATTTTATTTCCCTTCTATTCCTGAACACACACAATTCATACTACAAAGCTTGACTACTGCGAATCTATAAACTTTCCGAGATTTTGTTTTCGTCATTATCGCCTTTATTGTTATCTTCTAATTCATATGCTGGAATTAATTTAACAGTGTTGGTATCAAATGACTATGCTGAATAATTTGTCAATGTAAGTGTAAAACGTGACAAGAATTTACCGAAAATACGTATTCGCCTCAAAATCTGTCTTTTAATTATCACAATGGGAATATTTAAACTAAGTAATAGTCACATTTTCATTTCAAGAATTAGTACTAGTTAAATATTTTGAAGCTGAGCTTGTCAACAGTCCACGTTATAAAGCGCCTACAGCAGTGAACTTAGTCTTCTCAAGTTATACAGTTGGGATAGTATTGCCTAGCTACTGAGTTGGAATTCATTTATCACCCAACCGGTTGTATTCATGAAAAGATTGTTCACATAAATCTATGAATAAGCCTCATAAAATAATCTTAACTACATATTTTATTTCCCACATTATAAACAGAAGCACAACTTGTAAATAATTCTATTGTGATTGAAAAATGTCCAATAGTAATCCTGTCAAGCTTTGAAAAAGTAGGAAAGTGTAAATAATCATTAAGTGAAAAACAAACAAAGAACGTCACTGTTTCATCTACAAGTGAGACGGATAAACAAACGCTATTTGACCTATTCATTATCAATGAATCACTATGCATATATTATTGTTCTTCTATCAATAAATTCACAGGTTTTCTTATCCTAGTCAAGGCAATCTACTCATTTCAGCATCTGATTGTTGCTGTTTCCTTTTGTCTGTCTGTTTACTTTTTTATTATCTTGAAGTAAACAAAACTTCAAGCTTTTCATCTGTTTGCTAAATGACTCATTTCATATCTGTTAGTTGTGATGATGGGAGTGTAGAAAGTATTTGTCACACTTGATATGAATTCCTAAGCAAACATATCCAAAATCGACCAGGATTAATTCAATCATTTCTAATGAGGTTTTTAAACTGCTTTTTTCTATTCTATTCCCCTTTTCCCTGTACGGGAATTTAATATATCCTGCCATCAGTATAGATGAGAAGGTACAAAGAATAATAAATTAAATTTCAAGCTTGTTTTAACTTCTGAAGTTGTTCATTTATCACATCCATTAGGCAGTCCGTGTCAGTTATATGTCTTTTGATAAAATTTTTCATTTATGAGATATTTCACTTATAATCGATACCTATCAGATTTATGATAGCAACTAGTTAACTGAAGCAAAACTTGTAATATAATTCAGAAGAATAGTCTATGAATAGCGCTCAATGTTTACGTCTGTGTGGAAGGATAATGCTCTACTCATACTCATTGATTGGTGTCTTAACTGGTTATTTCCAGGAACTGATCTATGCGAGCGAAAAGATTGCACAGACTTATCACATCATATTTCGGTAGGTTTGAACCAGCTCTAGTGAGCTTATCAATTATAGTTACTGAATCAGCAATTCCGACTAGCATATATATATATATATATATATATATATATATATATATATATATATATATATATATATATATATCAACTCTGTTGGTGATAAGATCTCCACATGCCTGTCAAAAGAGTCATCCTCTATTATGCGGTTATAGGATGTGATTTTGAACGTAGACAATACATGAAGGTTTTTGGTTAGGGTAAGTGTTGTGTGGGTACTGTTGAGGTTTTCACTTTGGATGTGGAAGTTAAACTGAGTGCAGAATGTTGACTGAAGTATGAGTATAGTTGTGAATGCTTTGATGGGATTATTTGCGTGATGTCAATAACTATTGAGTTACTATACGTCAGACAGCAAAGCATATAACTGGAATGTTCAGTTATGTACCTGCGAATCAACCACAGTGGAACGAAATGCATTCACTATCTCTAAATCTCGTACTTACAATCATCATATACTTGCATGGACCGTATACTTATATTGTCTTTTTGAGTTACTTTTTATGCTTTTAAAAAGTGTAGTGTGTGGTGCATTACTTAATTCTCCAGTCTGTCTATAACTGTATAAAATCTTCATATTTATGTATATAGTTTTCATTTGTTGATTGCATCATCTCTTCAAAAATTACTTACTAACTATTAATCTCCTTAGTCTAACATATTTCCGTTTTTTTCACATGGTTACGTAACCTGCTAGCTTTTTAACAACCCCTTCTTTTACACTCCTGTCTGTTTGTTGTTCACCGCTTTCCACAGCTCAAGAATTTTCTATCTCATCAGAAATAAATTACCAGTGGTTTTGACTCAGATTTGTAATTATTACTTCTGTGTTTCCTTGATTCACTTACCTTATTCTTAATCCTGGATTTCGGAACTTCATTTATTTTTATATATTTAAACTATGTTATGCCATTATTACTACCAATACTTTATTTCAGCTGTACGTTGTTTGCAGCTGATGAAAGACCGTGAAATAAAATAAAATCATTCTATTCTGCAAACGTTTTTGTTCTACATTAATAAAATTTGTCAAGGGAACTAAATGAATAACATTTCCTCCTATTTCCACCAATTTCCTGTCTGACTTTTTCTAGAGATGTTACATCGTTTATTAATAATAGGAGAGAATTACCTTAAAATTATAAAGATAGCCAATTATGTATAAAATATTATATACTGTGTGTATTAGAGACTGTGTCTGAAAAAAGGTAGAATAGATGGCATTCATCACAGACTGACATCAGTTGGAGAAACATTAGAAACCTAGGAGCACTGGACAGTTGCTTCGTCCTAGTGTGAAACTCACCCACGACCCCGACCTTCAGGTTCCGTGGCCAGCACGTTACCATTGGACCACTGGGTAGGAGTCCAGTGGTCTACATCTCCAACCTCTATCAGTTCATGATATAGCGTGACCACCACCTAATGTCACTGTTGAGCAGCTGGGCCCCTCTCAACCATGACTTGTCATTGGAACTTGAGGAATCACCTCTCATAGCTACTCACCATTGATCACTCGTTCAATTGAATTCGGGGGCTTGTGGGGGCTTAGAGATTTTTCAGGTTAGTAACGTGCTGGCGTTGGAACCCGAAGGTCCCGGGTTCGATCTGTGGCAGGGTCGTGGGTGCGCACTGTTAAGGAGTCGCATACTAGGACAAAACAGCTTTGCAGTACTCGTAGGTTTCCAACGTTCCTCTAACTGATGTCAGTCCATGATGAACACCAACTTGGAAAACCTCTAAATCTCCATAAACCCCCAGATTCAAAGGTAGAACAGACAGCACGTTTTTGGCTTATTACCCCTAATTCTTTTCGTTCAATACATGTCACCGAGACAGGGGATTCAACTAGGCTTTGAGTAAATATTAATTATCCACATTTAAAATTTATCCCAACTGATTTATGTTTTGAATTTTTTTAAAAAGGTTTACATTTCATTAAACTGTGAGTAATTGTTGACTAAAGTGCTTCATTTCTTTGATACGATTTCTATTACTATATCATGAAGGCAACTAGAACATGTGAGGAGTTAATAGCCACTTCAGACATCAATTTAGAGCTTCAGATTCCGATAATATCAAGGAGTCAAATCAATCATCAGATTCAAATGTGCAAGTACATACTGATTCTTCTGTACTGAATAATAGCCTGAAAGATAAAAAACACGTTCGTCGTCCAATGAATGCTTTTATCATCTTTTCTATGCGACATCGTAGTGAAGTTCATCGTCTTTATCCAAATAAAGATAATCGTGTAGCAAGTCAAATTTTAGGTGATTGGTGGTATCGTTTGAATGCATCTGAAAAGGCTCCTTATCAAGAATTAGCTCGTGAAGTAAGTATTTGATTTGTATTTCTCACCCATTTTTATTGTATGCTTACTTTAAACAAATTAGAAAAGTTGTACATTTAAAAGCAAACGTTTTGTCAGAGATTTGTATTACTGTTACTATACTCTTACAGGTTTACTTAGTTGTCAACCGCGCACATATGCTATGCAGGTCACTCATCCCATTCGATAATCTGAAATAGAAATTAGTCAGGGAGACACAAAGTGTGCGTTTAATTTTTATAAATCCATGAATCACAAAATGTTTGATAAAACGACATCAACAAATAGAAAACGAAGATAGTGATAGCAGTTGAAGTAGAGGACGAAAGAATTATAAAGAAATAAGTTAAGGTAGAGAATAGAATGTTGTTGAATAGCAGAATATTCTTTTATGGAAAGCTAGATAACAAATGTATACATTTACATTGTTGTAGTTTAGTTACAACCATGTCACTTAGAGCACGCAACTACAGATTTAGGATTCTTCATGATACGGCTCACACAGATAATCAATAGATTTTGGGTCATGCAAGAAGTGGTGTATATTGACGAAATATGAAGCTGAAATTTCATCAATTAATCTTTTAATAGTGACAACTCGACTTCTAACTTAACGGTGCTCAACTACTTTTCCTCCTATTCTTAGTGTGTGTTTAACACTTGACAATGCCATCCACATACTCGGTTGGTCGCCGAATATCTTAGTTGTAGATCAATCGTTGACGAATACGAAAATGAGGTACAAAATTATCCGTCGTGGATACTAATTTATACCAGCATTTCAAATGGTAGACAGTCATAAATCCTTATACGACAAATTTCTCAAGTACATTAAAATAATTGCTGTGCACTTATTTCAGTGAGATTCTGGTGTAGGGTGTCCTGATTGATGTGGTCAAATATCTGGTCTAAGTCAATAATAGGATTTGACTGTGATACTAGTAAACTTTCTTTTGTTCTAAGATCTAGTGGACGATCAAGATCTGGTCATTTTGAATTTGATAAGATTTTAAAGTGTTTGCTTTTCTTGTTTTCATTGTTTCCTTATTCTATTTCAAAGTCAAATGACCATGAGTAGTAGGAGCTTAAGGGAGTTGAATTGTATCATTTTGAGACGTAGGCTGACATCAGTCATTAAGAAAATATATTACGCGGCTAATCTTATTATTGTGGGAAAAACAAAACACGTACTTGACCAAAAACCTAAACACATCCCATTGTGTTTACCAATTTACATGTGTGTGCGGTCACACATACATAGGGAGGAGTAATCAAGTCATGCAGTTGAGGTGGAAAAACATCTACATAAATGGCTTCAAAAGCAAATGGAGTATGAAACAGTGATATACGCAGGTGGGAGATGACTCTCTTCATCTATAGCTAAACATATCATAGAAACAGGTCACAAAGTTAATGTTCATACAGCTTTCAAAGTTTTATATAGAAACAATCAGCGACGTATATTGAAATTTTCGGAAGCCATAGCTATACACAAATTGGAACCACCTTTGTGTACAAAAACAATTTGTTCTCACACTACACCTACCTTGGTAAACTTTATCTGTTCACTAAGATTAGGATCAACTAGGTCAATTCCTGTTTGTTCTCATCTTTCTTAATTTTAATCCCCTCTTGTGTTAATTGTTGTATTTATCCCCCCACTCCTCGGTTTAATACATATTGACTTGACAAGTAAATGTGTAATGTAATGTATTGCGCAAATACATCACATTGTTCAGATAAACTTCGTCTTCTAATTACGCTATCGAAGTTGGCAAAAGGGACTAACTGTTTCAAAAAGTATTAACTATGCCGATCCTGGCATTCTGATATGGCGAATCTCTTTGTTTTTCTCTATAAAAAAGTGTACGAGCAACGATCAAGACTAGTTATGCAAAAATGCATCTGATTCCTGCTTTCAAAATGATAATTCCATCAATTTGTAAATCATAAATTACTTTCCTCAATGTTGTTGGAAATGGTCTACCTAAACCTCCTAATTTTTCTGTCCTTAGGTTTTTCTAATCAGCTTCAATACGAGCTGGGGAGTCCGTATAGCTATCATATCGAGTAGTAAGGCTATCTAAGGGGTCTTAATAGGTGATTTCCTATAATTTATAGGTGACTAACATTGTTTAGGGGTTAACTTGTAAACCTCTGACTAGAACAAATTGGCCACTATTGTCATATAGGCTACTGTGCGAATACCTCGACATCACCAGTATTTTCAGTCTTGATATTAATGACAGATATTGCCTGGGAATAGGATCCAGGATGCGCGTTTCTTCCTGGATGTGTCCGCCTCCCAGTGAGTTATATTTTCCCGCTCGGGCTCGAACTCAAGACCAATGGTTTCTAATGCCAGAGAGTTATGCACTGGACCACTAAGTCACGATATCCATTCCCTGTGCGACGAGTATAGTATGGTTCCGGTGTTGTAGCTTGTAAGCCTCCTTCGTTGATTAGATCGAATTGATTGGTCACTGTTAACCACTATGCATCATTAGTATCATGACGAACACAATGACATTATCTTTCTATCAATTTTTCTGATTATTTAGCTCAAGGCTGCACATTTCCAATCGTTTCCAAACTGGAAATGGTCATCCAAAGAAAGGCGTAATTCAGGTAACGCTAACGGTAAAAAAAGTTGTACAATCCTTCTTCATTCTGATCCAAAGGCAACTACACATACCACTGGCTGTGAAACCAAGTCATCGAATAAAAGCTATTCAGTCAAAAATATACCGAGTGTTGAGTCATTTTCTAGCAGTGAATCTACGAACGAAGCAATGGATTCAGCTAGCTTAGTTGTAAATGTAGAATCAAATGGAGGTAAGCAAAGTGATGATCAATCTTTTTGTTGCATTCTTGGCTTTTAAGGTTCATTGGATTACAGATTCAACTTTTAACCAATTCGGTTACAAATTTGAACTCTACATAACCTACCAAGGTTTGTACGGCCAGTTAATAAAATTAGGTATAAGGGTTATAACCTAATGAATGAATGTGCACGTATTTGTTTTGTTACCTATGCATTCTTAGAAGTCTAATCATTCTGTTAGACAGTAATACTATTTTAAATTACACGCTTTTTCACATATACGAAGTCCGTCAAAGTCAAGAAACTTTCTGTACTGTACACAAGGTGTTTTTCAGAAATCTGTATTGGTTAGTAGAAATCATGTGATTACTTTCAAGATGATTGGACACGAACTGGCACGCAATCTGAAATGAAGGCTAGTGATCAGGAGAAAATCTCGAAAACCCAATATTGTTGTTTGCCTATTGAATACAATGATAGATGATATTAGACCATACAGGTGACTGGTATAGGCTACTTTTGGCATCGCCACAAATAATGTTCCTCTTAAAAAGTTTTAAATCTGTCTCTTCGGAATTCTAGTTGCTGGATCACCTTGTAACTCAAAGTGCATGCAATTTCATATAGCTTTTGGCTGTCTTTTTGTTTAAAAGCTGACTCACCTGTATTTGTTATTTATTTGAATGATTGAAAGAATAGGTGCATGTCAGTTTGTGACATCTGACACTATGACTTACCATGTGAGAATCTTTTGGCTAGAGATCTTGACATTCTCTCAACTGACCTCATGTTTATTCATTTCCGTCTACATTGATTTGTTAGATGGTGTACCGCATCACCTAAGGAGTCTGATAAATCTGACTACTCCATTTAATATGATGTATTTGATAGATTCAATTATTGTGTGTATGAAGTCAAATGTTACTGGCTTTCATAGCAGATTCATAATGGTTCAATTTATTCTTCTTTTATGCCTAACATTTTGTTATTTGTGTTACTTACTGAGTTTATCACTTTGATTACGTATGGGTCTGATATGTCTAATAAGTGTGTGTATTTTGACTGGTTCTTTCAGTAAGTACAAACGTAAATATGATTAATGTTCAGACCACTATTGCAGAAGGTCTGGAAGTAAGGGAAGCTACCTGTGAATTGATTGGAAGAAGGGCTACCTTGTCAAACTCCCGAAGAAGAGAGACCTAAGTGTTTGCAAGAACTGGCGCAGAATCACTCTCCTGTCCACCCAAAGCAAGCAGAATATTAAGCCGCATCATCCTGGAGAGACTTAAGGATGCGCTGGATTCAAAACTACCACCAGAACAGGCAGGCTTCAGGAAGTACAAATCATGTACGGATCACATTGCAACGCTTCGCATCATCATAGAACAGAGTATAGAATGGCAGTCAACTCAACCCAACCTCAACTTCATCGACTTTGAGAAGGCCTTTGACAGCGTCGGCCGACAAGTTATTTGCCAGGCAGTTGCTTCAACGCTACGGTCTTAGTGCCACAAACCTTTATCAGCTTCATTCGACAACTATATGAAGACGCCACATGCCAAGTAATTCACAATGAGAAGCTCAGTGATGCCTTTCAAGTGAAGACAGGAGTAAGACAACGCTGTCTACTATCACCCATGATATTCCTGATTGTGGTCGACTAGACTGAATCATGCAACAAACAGTGAGGAGTGGGAAGAGGGGGATACAATGGCTGCACCGATGAGAAGATCCTAGAAGATTCGGATTTCGCCAATGATGACTTATGTCTGATGTCACACAAACTTGAAAATCTGCAGGCGAAAACTGACAAGTTAACAGAAGAGGCGAGGCAGGGCAGCAAAGATGGGACTTCAAGTGAACGTAGAGAAGACAGAGATGATGAAGATACCCAACCAAAACCAACACCACCACCACCACCAACAACAACAACAACAACGCCAACAAGAAGAAGCTGCAATCACCATCACCATGAACTGGAGAAACTTAAAGGAAGTAGCCTCTCTCACCTATCTAGGCGAGGCAGCATCCTTTCAACTACAGGCTGTGGCACAGGCACAGACGAGGACGTTGACGTCAAAGTAGCCAGGATCGGAAAGACAGCAAGACAGGCGTTCACTAGCCTGAAACCAGTGTGGAGATCTACTGCAGTGCACTATGCATAAATCGTCAACAACATTCGAATTTTCAACACCAACGTGAAGTCAGTGCTTCCAAGTGATGGTGATGGTTGAGAGACTTGGCGCGTTACGAGAGGGATTTCCAACAAACTACAGACATTGATGAACAACTGCGACCTATGCTGGTTACTGAAGATCAGATGGATTGGCAGAATAATAAGAATAAGCAAGAAGGAACTCTGGCTGGCTGTTGACGAAGCAACCAATAACCTATTGCTCAGTGAAGAAATATGCAGTGGAAGGAAGTGGAGATGGATTGGTTGGATTGGGCATACACTGAGAAGGCCGATTGGGGACATCACACACCAGGCCGTCGAGTGGAACCCCAATGGGAAGCGACGAGTTGGGCGTCCGTGGTGAGGGTGACATGGAGGAGATGGTGTGAGGAAGAAATGAGAGCTTGTGGGCAGTCTTGGAGCCAGGTTGAAAATATTGCAGAGAAGAGAGTGGAATGTAGACGTGCTAGTGAAGCCCTATGTTCCATTAGGAACCCAAGGGACCAATAATAATAATAATAATAAATCTCTGTAATATTGTGATGAAACACTAACTTTTCTGAATTACTTATTGCGTTGCGTAAAGCATGTGTTATTTTAATAAAGATGCTGACTAACAAGTCGAAAGATATTTGTTAACGGATAAGGAACTGCAGTATGCCTAGCACTCGGCCACTTTACTACTCACCGAGAAGAAAAAAGAAGGCAAAACGCCTCACAAAAGCTATTCTTAACATTTATTCTAATTTTATAGACTTCAGGATCAAAATTTGACCTGACAGACGAATAAGTTGAGCATTGGGTGATTGGATAATGAATGAAATATATTTCTAAAATCGTAATGAGATAGAAAAATAAATTTCTAACATTTCTCTACTTAAATTTTGAGGGGGTTGTGGAGATTTGGAAACATTTCAAGTTGTTATTCATCGCGGAACCTGAAGGTCGCGGGTTCGATCCCCGCTGGTGGGGTCGTGGGTGCGCACTGCTGAGGAGTCCCATACTAGGACGAAACAGCTGTCCAGTGCTCCCAGGTTTCCTTTGTTCCTCCAACTGATGTCAGTCTTCGATGAATAACAACTTGAAATATTTCTCTACTTCATGGAAATCGCTCTTTCAGAGAATAAAACCTGTAAAAGTTATCGAGTGTTTAAGTAGTAAATGGTGATACATTATTATTCTGCTCATGCTTTAGACAAAATAACAAAGAAGCAAAAACTTGTTATGACGGAAAGTTTATGTGAAAGCTCATTCGGTAAATCTGCCACAATAACTATGAGTATGAATTCAAATCTGCCAATTTCATGGGTTTAATCAACTTATGATAGATACTGATTAAATTGTTTAAGACAACGACTAACAATAAATGGAAAAAAAAAATATTTCTCGCTATTGCTATGTCACATTTGAGTATTCAGATTGTTTTTCAATAGATGAAAATATTCGTTTTATATTTCTTCTTAATTCCAGCTTCTAAATCCAATCTATTAGTTGAGAATAATGATGAGAAAAATAGCCTGGATAAAAGTCTAATCAAAGATAAGTCGTTCCAATCAGACAACTGCTTATCATTGACCTCAAACCAGTGCATACCGAATGGTATAGACTTACTTCTTCATGCTGTTGAATATTTGGATAAGAATAATGTAGCAGATAATGAATTAACCCATTTTACATCAGTTGTTGATGTTGATCTTGATTCTGATGTCATTCAGTCTGACGTGACTATAAAAAATCACACGCCATATGGAAAAATGATTGTGGAAAACATGGTAGTGATGATGAGATTACGGATTGCAATAATAAAGGTAATGATGGGTTGCTCGTAGTTTTATGTCACTGATTATTAATTATCATCAAAATTTTTTCACATGTTGTTCTCGATATCATCACCATCATCAAGATCAACATAGAATCAAGCATTACCGAGTGACGGTCCAAGTTGCTATGCTTCATATCAGCACATCTAATAGCAAAGCAATGGAAGAGAAGATGAAAAAAGAAAGAGAAATCGGTTACAAGAAGTAAAAAGTAGTAAAAGAGAGGAGGGAAGAACAAAAAAAAATGATGAGACTAATTATATAGCGGTTAACATGAGGATAACGTGTGTATACATCTGCACCACTGACATCGACTCTGGGCCATATCACCTAGAGTCTTCAACCAATGGTTTCTTTGGTCCCGCGGACCCCAACCGGCTAGTCTGCATCGCCCTACATGGCTCCAACCAACAACCAAGGACTTCATGGATTAATGCTATGTTCTAGTCTGACCACTCCAAGCCTTTTTCCAGCCTGCGGACTTACTTCAGCCAACATTGTGCATTGAAGCAGAAGATGGCTAAGGCATGCATGATACATGTCTCAGCCATCTCAGTCGATGAATGTTCACAACTGCATCAACTGACTTATCTCTCCTCCCTAAAACTCTGCGTCTAACGTATGCGTCACTCATGTAGTGACACTACGAAAAACGGCCTATGCTACGAAGGCAACAGAGGCCAAACACCTAGAGCCTTCTCAAGTCTTCTACCTTCAATAGCCATGTTTCACAGCTATACAGTGGAACGGACTGGAGTGCAGCACAGTCGACCCTTAATAGGCATTTGGATATCCCGGTGGCTCCACAAATGGTGTAAGTTGCCAAACGCCAACCAAGCCTTTTGTATCCATGCAGAGGTGTCGCTGGCCACTTAGCCAACAGGGCTGTTCCGACTCGTCTGGTTCAATAAAATCAACTACTTCACTTCCTATTGTCAATCGGGGTACCGTTGAAGACCGGTCCTGGAGCGAAAGTTTACATTTAGGTGGCAAGAAACGCATCCCAAACATTCTCAAACTGTCACTCAATGTGTCCAGAAGATTGAATCTTGTCAGCGTCTTAAGCTCATAGAATATACCATTTGCATAATCTAGATCCACCGAAAATCCTCCTGTAATCCGGTCAATCCCCATGTGGTCAGATGGCGAGAGGGAGACCTCCATAAAAACATCTATGATTAAATTAAATAAGAATGGAGAGAGTAAGGATCCTTAAAGGACACCACTCGACGTACATGGCTCATCCGACATCTCACCACAGGCTCTAACACGCTCATAGGTGTTCGATTTAAAACCTTCAATAAAGTGACGTACCAATTCGGTATCTCGTTTCCGTGAGACACGTTGCCACAAGATTTCTCGATAGATGGAGTCAAATGCCCCCTTCAGGTTGGTAAATACAATTATTGCTGGGCGTTGGTAAGCGTGTCTGTGTTCCAGAACCTGGCACAGTGTGAATATTTGGTCGAGACACCCACGGCAAGGTCTGAAGTCTGCCTGGTTTTCTCAAGCTTTCTGTTCCCGAGCCCACTCACGCGTCTAGTGTTTACAGAATCTGGAATCTAAGACACTATGCTTGTCAAGCTGATTCCTCTTTGGTTATCAAAAGAAAATTTATTGTTTTTTTAAAGACTGGGATAATCAGTGATTCAGACCAGTTAAAGGGAATCATATTTGACTACCATACACTAGTTTACACTTCAGTTAACTTGACTAAGAAGCACTCTGCCACTGTCCTTACATAGCTTGGGAACTGGTTAGCTTGGTCCTGCAGCTCTTCCTCGTTTCAAGTTAGTTAACGCTTTCTTGACTTCTGCAAGTGTTAGGGAGCCCATCTCAGTGTTTCATTTAAGGTCCGACTGGATGGCGGACGATGCAATAGTGACTGGAGGCTAGTTGAACTACTCCTTGAGAGAGGTATTCTTTCCATCATTTCGGTCGTCTTCCTTGTAAGTGAGTCACAGATTCATTCTTTCGTGCTATAGTTCCACTAATCGTTGACCTTTTCGTCCCAGTTTCCCTACTGTCTAAATAATTGTCTACTGTTATCTATCATCGCTGCCTTTTCCATCTCTTTAGTCTTCACTGTCCACTATTTGCGGTCCACTGCGTAGACTTTTTGTCAGTCTACATTTGAAATGCATTGGCTCCTCATTGTACTCAGCCCCTGCGTTCATTAGTTTAGAGGAAGCTGCTGATATCTACTGACTTTTTTAACCACTCTTTGAGAGTCGGCTACGGTCTTCAACGCTGCTTTTACACCAGACTGGATATGACACCAAGCTTCTTCTGGATGAGTGATGGTGTTCTCTTACGATAACTGTTTAGCCAGTATCTCACTAAAAACAGCCTTAGCGCTCTCATTTTCGAGCTGCACTCGTAATGGTCTTGCTGCTAAGGTTTTTCTGCATCCATTGAGACGCAGAAATATGCGTGTTCGAACCAACGCGTGGTTGCTGTCCAAACACGTACTTCAAAAGAAGCGGTAGTCTCCCACTGACCCTCTTCAGAGATGACTGATAGCAATGTGGGCTATCTGTATCCACAGCTGAGTAGAGGTCAGTGTATGGCATGTCAGGCAGTGTCCTTCTTGATGTCTGAAGTTTGTGCTAGCTAGAAATAAACGGTTACCTGGTCACAGTTGTAGTAGGCGATGACTTATCTGTTCATTTAGCCAGGATTTCGAAAGTGCCACATAAGTGCCTTTCTACCTGATTTCAGCCTACCCACTTGTGTATTGAAATCGCCTGCAACAACAACCATGCCTGAGGGTTTGGCTTTCAGAAAGAGGCTAAACAGCTTTCGGTGTAACTTGTCCTTCAGTTCATATGAACTGCAAACAGTGGGTGCCTAAGCAGAGATTATGAAGAGGCAAGAGAGAGTTTCATTATCTCTTTAGTTCTCACTATGATGTTAAGCCGGACAACATATAAGCAACTGTCAACTGGGATCCAGTCTAGCAATGAGCTTTGTGCCCTAGTGCTCGATACCTTGCCTAAACCTGCGAGATCGCGAAAACTAGCCGTCGAATCTCCGCAAACTCGGTAGTTGAATTTTGTGAATTCCCCCATATTGACCGGCGGAAGTTAAGTGAATAACTGTACTAGGTTCTCGTATGCGTTTCTCACAATTACAACACACATCCATTGCCCGATTTCGGCCAGGGAGGCTTGTTGGCCAATTTGACGGAGGTTGTGGACATTGAAGTTTCCAGTTGGTACTTGAAGCATGGTTTAAGGAGACCAAAGATACTGTTCTCTGGACTCAGATCATTGTCGAAAGCTACATAGGCAGGAGAAATTAAAGATGATGTAAGGATGAGGCAGGTACGGAGTGGTTGGAGGGAACTTGAATACTGACAGTATCATAAGGGTGGTTGATACTTCCCGGCTGGTCACATTGTGGAAGACTAGGTGTTCTTGAGGTACCTGAAAAAGCCTGCATAACCGCAGAGCCCATGGGACATCTGGTTGGGGCCGGTCACGTGCAGCTTTTTTGATGCCATGACAATTATCCTGCATTATGGAAGATATAGTCAGACAGAAGTCCTGTGGTTTTGGATCACCACTAACCATTGGTGACTGACCTAAACCAACACTGCATCGTCTCTTTGTTTAAGAAAATGTTAAAGAGCAAAGGCAACTGCTTTTTGTCCAACCACTATCCAACAGACCCTTCTGGTATGATAGGACCTCGAGGGAACAAGCGTCCAACCAGTATACCTAGTTAGGTCATTGTTATATACAAGCGTGACCACTACGTTAAAGTAGCCAGCTATCGGTTGGGTTCTTGTTGTTCTAATTTGCCATTGTGACGTGTCCTCACCATTGTTTTTTGATTAGTTGAAGTTAATAGAAAGCGTATTTCATGTTTAAAAAGTAAGCGCACGTATACTTAATATACTTCAATTTCTCTGTCGTTCATATTATAAATACCAATCTTTCGGTGTACGCATCAGTTAGTCACTGTACGTGAGAATACGGTAATTTGTCAATGAAATCTGGAAACCTGTATGATCTGTGAAGTTCCTTTGGTTTGAAGAGCTTTGTAAAATTAAGATTTACAGTACTTAACCTGTCTCTAACAGCCCTATTGACATAATCCTCGAATTCAGCACGTAGACAGAATCGATGTTCATATACAACATGTGACCTCTATGCAATATTTTTCCTAATTTGATAATGCGAGAGCGTGTAACGTCAGTATGATTGAATGTATGATGCTTTAAAGTTTCAAAGTTTGCATAGACACTGTGACGACAAAGTAATTCCCTAATACATTCTAGGGTATTCTTGCTGAGTGATATATTTTTCTAGAAAACCAACCTCACTTCTAGCTAATGCCAGTTTGACAGAGTAAAGTAGAAATTCATTTTGTTCCTTAAACCTTAATGATCTTTTGCTCTTTTTAATGAAATTTTCGACCACATATTTCATACAACTATTTTATTCTATTTTAATCCATTTTATTTCGTCAGAACATTTTCATTTCTCTTGATCCTTAATCATATCACATCCTATCTGACAGTTATTCAGTTTTTGTTTCTGTTGTACCTGCGTGGGTATAATGATACTGAGACTCAATAAACGCCTCAACCGAATACTTTTACGACTGACCTCCCTCAGTACCTTCTGCTCCGCTGTCCTGCAAAAAAACCAGAAGATAAAGACGGCCTGTGACTGTAAGAACAACGACCACTTTTACTAGGCAAATACATGACATGTATGTATTTACAAAACTCTCAGAAAGTGAAGCCATAAATGAACCAATGCGATTTGTTGTATGAGGTCAAATTTCTCCAATCAGGTTCTCATGTCAGTGCATACATAAGTCATGATCTGAACGTGATCTGATCATGACTTGCAAACAACTCCCCTATTGGCTGCCGTTTTGTCGCTACGTATCAGTTTCACGCAATCTTCACTGAACTACTTTTAACTGGAATCACACGACATATTCATTCATCTTACATTACATTACATCTTTGATTTTGAGTTTCCTATATTTTTCCAACTGAGTTGATGATTCATGAAATATTATCCTCATTCATATTCATGAACCTCGTGACTCTGAATATTATAAAACCTTTTACTTTTTTCAGCTTCTCAAATGGAAAAGACTTTACTATCACCGACTTTTGAGCGTTCTCTTAAGGCAGAAACTGACGATCAAAAATCGGTGCTAGTCGATACTTCAACGAAACTTCTTCAGATAAATTCTAGTGAAAATTGGATGTCAGTTCGTCGACTTCCATTCCAAGCGTGACACCTACATCTAATTCCTGTATCTATGCTTCAAATAGTCAGAACTCTAAAACTGATGCGTTTGAACATTCACTTGTAAAGTCATCAAGGTAAGGTATTTCTTTCGATATTTCACTAATAATTAGCATGTTACCTTTTTGAAATGACTTGTTTAGTGTTCGTATATGATTGGTTTATGAAGCAAATGCTGATGAAATTGCTTAGTCTGGTGATGAAATGTCCAAGAACAAGCCTCAAAGTTGCTACAACGTGAAACAATTATCATCTTCACCCTGAGCAACAGATCTTCTCTACCATCTCAATTACATCATTATAAATGGCTAGAGCTTAAAGAAGTTTTTAAGGTCCACCATCCGTGTATAATGTTTTTGGTCATAATAAACACTGAGTACGGTCGCAGTAGAATTGACATCCTTATTTATCTTCAAGCGAAAGTCAGTATGCCATATTATCAAACCTGTCAGGTGGCTAAGGTTTTGCACCACAGCTTTGAGTTAAATATTTGTAGCTCAGGGTGTGGATGTGTAGAGTGAGTCGTTTTCTGAGCTAAGGTTTTAGTTGGTAAACGTTTCAATATGATGCTAGATATAGTCATCAGTTTCAGAGAACAACTCACTTTGTATCAGGGCCTCTTTATTACATTTGTAAGATGTTTGTTAGCTCATTCTAGCATGTTTTAGTCCAAATAGTAAGTATACAGATCATCAGTAGATGCGGAATATACAAAACACTTTATGATACCGAGATCTTTTACTAAGAAGTGATAAGTTATGCTTTTTGTCAGCAACAGGAGTTCAAATTCGTCATAGTAACAAGATTTAATAACAATAATTTGACCTGCGGATAAATGGATATTGTATAGCATATTTTGGTTAAAATAAACTATTGTTGTTGAAACACAAACACTGGAGTATTTTGTCAGATGCCTTCCAGAACGAACATATGATAACGGCACCTATATATCTGCTATATTGACCAAATTACTGAACTTTTTCATCACTAAATGGTAAGTCACCACGTGTTTGAAATGAAATAATCTCCACGTTTTGCACAGAAGTCTGGTCCGAGCTTGTTCAAGGAAATAATCAAAATTAGAACATTAAGGATATATAAATGATTTCAAAGACAAGTATCTAATCTTGTTGTCCTAACCTCGTAGTGTAGTCAGTCTTTCTAAAATATGATTACTAATCATTCAGTGTGTGACTGTGTCTTTTATTGGATAGTTAGCATGTGTGTGTTACTGTGCACATTTATCCTTGATTGTAAATAAGAGACGAAAAGGTCACAAGTGACATTATAGTCATTATGTATTTTATAAGTGCGGCAGGGCCTATCAAGCAGATACATGTGTCATTTTAGTTGGTACATGAGGTTGAACAGTATTAATGAAGTTTTCATAGATCTGTTAGATTAGAGTTAAGATGAATGATAGCAATGTTGGAGGTAACGATAATAATAATAATAATAATAATAATAATAATAATAATAATAATAATAATAATAATAATAATAATAATAAGAATCAACCCAGATTGCGTTGTTTTCGGTTCAGAGATGATAAAGTAGAGACTGATGTTGAAGGTAAGTGCTACAGTCACTCTTTCTGCTTACTAATTTCTAATTGCCAAAAGGCAATTAACTGTACTCCATCTCGTCTGTACCAACTGTCTGGATCTGCCCTTATATATGGGCTTAGGTCGTCAGTCCTTCTTGGTATGACCCAAAACCTTTTTGTAGAACCTTGGTTCCGTCAAAGTTAATGTGGCTCTTTTCTATGGAGTGTAACACAATTTCCTATTTGTTTTCTAGCTTCTTAACCTCTACTGAGGTCGTTGGCCTATGCTTTAGGCATAGGCTACGCTCCTTAACTCCTAAATTTATCTGCCTGCTTGTCTACCTCACATATACTGCAGTACCATCTGCGCATGTGATTCATAAACGCAGTTCTGTTCATTTTCTTTGGGTACTACATCTTTAACTTTCATTAAGTTAGTGTGGGGTATTTGTTACACGAAAGTAAACTCTTGCGTCATTTTGTTGAGAATCCTTCCTATTTATTTCGAGATCTCCTGCGATATAGGATTATGACCGTGTTTATCCAGTTCTTCGTTGGGAGCTTCGGTACATCTTTAATTTCCTTGAAAAAAAATCTTTTTACAAAGTCCTTGGGATAATTGTTTGCTTCCAATGTGCCTCAAACTGACTTTAACTTTTCCTCTTTATTTGGTTGGGTCAGCAGTATGCTTTTGGAGAAAATGACTAAGAAGCTCAGTAATAGACTGATACTAAGTTCATGAATACCGTTCAGGCTGGTTAACATGAAAAGAGAAAAAGGTCAATAACTCGCTATCCTCTAGAATAGCATCAAATTTCATCTAATACTTTACTCAAAACATTTTACCAGTTCTACATATAAATCTAAAACCCTCTATATTTCTTCTCTATGTTGTCATATTCACATAGTAGATTCGATCTCTGAATGCATGTACCTTACGTACATTACTTATATTTGGGAGGCTCTCAAACGTGATTTCTCGATTACTTTTTGCTTTTTCATTTTGTTAACAAACCTAGTAGTTGTTATGCAATCAGTCCTTACGATATCTAACTCTTCATTTTCTTCATCAATATTATTTCTCAAACAGCTTATTGCCTTGTTTTTTTCTAAAAGTGTATACTTAGTTTATTTTATTCCTCTCATCCTGTTCAGATGATGGATTAAAGAAAGCTTTCTTTGTCTCTACTTGAAGTTATTGACCATTTTACAAGTTACTTTCTCATTTGCTTACTTCGTCTTTGTCTATGCTTGCTGGAACTATTCACGGTCTTTAGTTTTCTCTTACCCTCTCTAATCTAATCACAATGTTCTGTTTGACATGTGACGTAATCATGTGATATATACAGAATTCTTTTTCACAAACGTAATTGTTATTGACTATAACCATTACTGTCTATACTTTTAGTATCAGTAATACCATAGCCGTTTCTTTCCGTATTTGTTGGTAGGATATATCGCACAGTTAATCAACAATATCAATATTCCATTTAGAAGTTTGATTGATATCAAAGGGGTTTGAGTCATGGATCAATACCAGACAAAGAACTATTGAAAACATGCAAGCACTGGACAGCTGTTTCTAATACTCATTAAATTTACTGCATTTATAACTTGAATAGCTACATAATACATCAGGCTCATTAAACCTTGCTTATAGCTCAATAATTAAGGCTTTATATAATAATTAATATCTAAAACGACTCACTGTTACTCTGTCATTGTATCCATAACTAACAGAAAGCATCACTAGTCAAAGAGATTTTGTATTTTGATACTTTGTAGACACACTTAATCACACGTCTTTTTCCGTGGTTAAAATATTTCTTTAAGATGGAACTAGTAAACAATGAAGCATACATTAACTAAGAGTTATTTAAAAGTATACAAGTTTCCGAACACCATAGATGAAGTTCTAAGAAAATCTCAAAACTTTGATTAAAAAACCTGCTTTTTAGATCAGCGTATAAAATATGTAATATTAAGTGATAAAAACAATAAGTGACGGACATTTCAGCATAAAACGTTATGTAGCTGCCTAGTAGTCCACGTTGCAGTACTTCACACTGATGATGCTTGATGTATCTAGGGTATATGTGGACCTACCGTCTCTGACTGCTGCACTGGGCTATGTGGGTTCGGATCTCAGGCGGGACATCAATACTGTAGAGATTGCAAATACGCCTTGTTGACGAATGCCAAAACGCACGAAAACTATGTCAGGGGCTTCCTTCTGATTTATCCATCCGACTAACATCTATCAAAGTGCATCCCGATGTTGAGTCGACTAGTTTGGTGGCCACATTGAAAAATGATCGATATAATTTGATCAGCACTTAGGACTAGACAACATGAAGTTGTTTATGCTCCGGTGACCAATCAGTGGGCCTAACCTAGTCCTACAGAAGGTCAGTCGCTGCCCGAATAGCTCAGTAGTAATGTCTTTGACTGCAACCCCGGGTTACACTGGTTTGAGTCTCAGGCGGGACATCAGTTTCGAAAAGGGTTGGAAATACGTCTTGCTGACGAGTGTTAACAAGAACGAAACCTAGATCTAGGGCTTCCTGGAGATTGCCTCCTTCCAACTAACATCTATCTTTTTCTCGATAAAGGGTGCTAGCTTAGAGAATGTCAAGGTCAAAACACGGTATCACTACATGGAATATCTGACTGTTAGTCTGAACCATGTAAGGAAGCGTTAACCGCCTGTCTTAGGTTACTGAGATATTAGAAATTGGTGGTCAAAGAAAGGGTTCAAAATCTACAGTGATGTAGACTTACCATTGAAATCGTAAACATTCTTGGTTATCTTTATTTAGTCATTTTTCATCTGCTTAAACCTTTAAAAAAAATTAGAATATCGTCTTCTATTCACATTCTCTTTCGTGTTGTTAAAAAACCTGGTTACTTGCACTGATGGACTTCTGTGTTATGTTATACATTGGTCTGTTTATTGTCTGGTTTCACACTAACCCATCAGAGTATTATGTAATAAGAGGAAAGATATAGGGATGTGCCAACATTAATAAAATTTGTGAAAAGCTGTAAGTTGGCGCGAAAAGAAGGTGAAGCAAATAAAAACATATATCATTGAGGTGTAAATAAAGAGTAATGTGTGCATGTATCTGTGCCACTATGATCCCTTTTTCCTTGTATCATCTAAAGCCTCTAACACATAAGTTTTGCTTATCTCTTATACCGCATCTATGATGTTCACATTACTTTTAAGCACTCAGATCAATAAAGAGAGTCCATGAAGTTGAATACTGTTTTAAGGTCAAAAGATATGCATGAGTAAATGAACGACAGTCTACCTTCGTTCTGAACATCGTAGTATGATACATGAAGGTATCAAGTTCCATCAATGTTTTGGTTAAGGGTTATCCAACTAAATTGTTATATTATTTCAATCTCCTGAGAATACTACCTTAATAAGTACTTGTATCATAACAAAAGAAGATATTTAAATTTATCACCTTATAATTGATGGGTTAGCTGTTGAATCTTGAAATCACTAGTCCTTATCATTTGAACATAACTGTTTCTCAAATGGTATAGCAAATGGCTCCATTGAATTGAAGAATGTATTTTTTAAGCACAAAGAATGTGATGTGCATTCGGCTACTATTTTTAGCCCACACTTCTAGTCTTTAATATAACCATATTCCACTCTAGATCATTCATAATTTTTGGCGCTAGTCATTTTACAATGAGTAATTAAACCGCTGTACATTTGAGTTGTAGAAACTACCAGAGTTGCATAACTAAAGTGTTAAGAATCTTTTGACAGAATATAGTTTGTGAAAAAAAGAGCGAAATGCACTCAGTCACCTTGTGCATATCTGTGCAGTAGGCAGTAAACCATACTATTGTATAAGGGCTAATGATAATACCTGGCTTCCCAAACCTTTGTAGGTGAAATGGAGTTCGAATCCGTGGTCCAATGGTTCATAGTCATATCCGTAAATTACTGAGCCACAGCTCCCGTAATGTAGTTTATAATGTGATTTGAAAATAACTTCATTGGTGTAAATGTCTTTTCTATATTTTTGCATTCCCTTGTGGCATCTTATTTTGACTTGCCATGTGGTCTGTTTACTCTTACTTTCTTGCATCACTTGTTCTTATCATATCTGTATCACTACTTGAACCATTCCATACTTGTCTTAGATTTTTGACAGAATGAAGTATACTGAACATTTGATTCATTTGTAGTACCAATCAATACTTACAGAAAACTTGTCATTATAAAGTGATAATGTTCAAGATGATAGAAGTTTGTATAAATTGAAATAGAAGCAGACAAGTGAAAATCGTCTTAGCAAATATAAACAGCGTGTTTAAAAGTTGCTTTAATTCTTTGTTGTAAATTCAAGGGTTTTAAAAGTTCCCATCATGTAAATTAGAACAAGACATAAGCTACCAATATTGTTTTCAATTCGATCTCTTTAGCTATACTCTAGTATAAATAGCTAAATATACATAAAAATTAAACCAATCGTGTAGATTTGTCATTCAATATGATATTTTAAAATAACGATGGTAAGAATAATCATAACGTTGACAGTGTTGACTAAAGCAGTTGTCATATAAATTTTAATGATGATCAGAACCAAGAAAATAACATGAAAATGTAGACACTCCAATGATCATGTGGATCGAAAGCTAGAAAAAAAAAATGAAAGTTGTGTAATATTGAAGTAGGAAGTGCTGGTCATGGGACCTGAAGATCCTGGGTTCGATCTCTGGTGGGGTCATGGGTGCGCACTGCTGAGTAGTCCATACTTGGACGAGATATTGTCCAGTGCTTCCAGACTTCCAATCTTCCTCCAATTAATGTCAGTCTATGACAAACACCATCCTGAAAAAAGCGATAGGAAAAATTACAATGATAAATTTGTTTCTTAAGTATTCTCTGGCCAAGGGAGAGATAAGGGATGTAAAAACTTCTTCTGGATACAAAGACTAGATTAGTAGCTGGAATTCTACAGCTGCTGCCGTATGTAAACGACGAGTTCGAATACCTTTCGAAAGATTTAGTGGTATGTGGTGAACAGTCGTGAAAGCATTGTCCTTATGTATTAAGTGACCACTATCAACGATATGAGATAGAATAGAACCTTTTTATTATTTGTATTATTACCACCATCGTTATTTTAAAGCATTTATTACATTAACCGACAAGTCTACATGATTGCTTTAATATATATATATATATATATATATATATATATATATATATATATATATATAGTTCACTTACATATCTTTTCTACTTGTAAATTCAGGCGAAGCCCAAGTTTTCCTATCATTTAATGTAAGCTTATATTTTCCGAAATGGGTTGCTTAATTTGCATTCGTTTAGTTATGTAATATCTTGATTACTCTTTTAACTACTTACATAGTAATAGCTTATAAAATAATCGTCATTGTTGGCAAACGAACTTAAAATTATAAAAATGTGGTGAAGTCTGTGAAAGTTATGATGCTTTACTCCCTCTTTTTTGTGAAGGAGAAACATTCTTACTGGTCAAGAGATTCTAGCTTAGAGCAGGTTACTGCTTGACCAATATGATACAAAACTATTATCATTTCATTGGATAGTATTCTAACATTGATGGTCGCATTTCATAGCCCATTGTAAGATTAAATTTTGAAAGTGAAATGAATTAATTGACAAATATTTTTTTTACTTAAACTTGTAGTTCTGTTGATTTACAAAGCTGCAATAAACTTCAGTTGAAAAATCAACAACCTAATAGTATCTTGTGCAATTCCACTATTGACTTGTCGAGTGCAGCACCTGCAATACCTCAGGTTTCTGTGTATTCTGATACTTTGTTATATCAGGTACCAGAAAACGTTCTGTTGTATCCATTATCAATAAATTTGAAACCAATGTTACCATCGTCACCGATCATAAGTGGATCATTCACAGGTATGGTATAAATACTCTGTTTGATTATTTGTACTCTTACTTCTTTGTTGCATAGAAATAGCATTTGATGTCTACTCAAACGGCAGTTACTACCTTGATGGGATATTTCGGTATACCTATCGATTTACTGACTGGGAAGTAAAATAAACTAAGTCATGTATATATGATTTATTTTTGGGACGTGTACGATGCATCCAAATGTTATTATTTACTTGACTTCATCTAGTAAGTGTGATGAATCATTACAACTTATCGTTTGTTTATATGTTTCTGATAAATCAGTAGTGTTTCTGTGTGGATGTCAAGATGTGATGACAACGTGTCTAGGGGAAGAACGTGAACTTTCGAGCGGACCTCAGTTAGTAGCCATCTACAGAATATTGGATTACAGGTCCGTTTTCACTCACAGGGATCCTAACATACATCAGTGTTTGTTGTAGTTTTTATCAATGCATCGAGTACTTGCAGTGTGAACCATGTAATCGATGAGCGTGACCTAATTTGTTGGGTGAAAATGCCGGTTGGAACTAATATCTTCTGAAAACTATAAACAAACATCTTGCACTTGTTAAGTGTATGTTCAAAAGTCTGCCAGAAATATTTAGTTCAGGCATAATAAATGAAGAGGTTAAGTGTATTGATTTCTGTATAACTGGCGAGTTTGTATCAGCGATAAGGTGCTGGCTTCTGTAAAATCTTTAAAAAACATTAAAAGTTGAGTTGAAAATCGTCAGCCTAAGCCATTTGTGTCACGATTGACAAAACCAGTTGCTCATAAAATAGTAGAAACGCTGGTCATCAGTCATCTCTCCTCTTCTATGAAGTTTGAGGTATGACTTTTGTAGGTGGAGGATAATGAGTGAATGACATATTCTATCACAAGTATTGTTGTAACGTCATTGATTTGTTCTCGAACTGAATAAAGTTTCCAAGTTGGCTGTAGGATTGTCAACAGATTAGGTAATTTGGTCTATCACCTTCTGAATCTGCCGTGATAGAGCTGGGTTGGTCATATAATATGAATATTGAGCTACTACTCACCCTGCTTCCTATGCTGATTTAAACGGATTAGGATCCACCGTTTTATCGATTATAAACATGTCGCACGGACACCACAGGCTTAAAAATACTAGGACCATTGGTTGAAGACGTATAGTTACATAACTCAAAGTAGTTCACGAGGAGAAATATATTCACGTATGACTTTTCGTTGTGGTTCATTGGTCTGGTCACTTGATTTCCAACCGATGGGTTATGGGTTCAAACCCACCTTCATCTACAGAGGTTTCGGCAACCGGGTAGTATCATCAGCTCTCACACGATAGGTGTAACTCATTGCCTACTGCACTAATATGCACTAAGTTGCTCAGTGGATATTTTTCTGTCAAGCCATTTAGCCACATAACAACTGAATCTGATGTTCAGTAACTGGAAGAGGTCTTGATATGAAATAATGGTACATCCCTAGAAGTTATTATGCATTATAACAATCCAAGAAGATGACGATAAAAGTTTTTGAAATGATAGCAAAAAGTAGTATAGATTGGATGAGAATAAAGAAGAGGTTGAATTAAATGTTCAAGGTTATGAAAAAGTTAGGTTGTTAATGTATTTGAGCCACTATGACTGTAGTTTATGTTACTTACAAGTTACTATATTGTATATATAAACAATTAGGTTCGACGTTCAGTCGACAGAAGTTCTGGAGAATGAAATGAGAAATATCAGAATGAAATACAGAAGACAAAAAAACATTAACATAAAAACTGAAGGTCAATTTATACTGATAATAGAATGTAGATATTATTTTCATGAATTGCACTGAAAGTCAGGTTTTATTTCAATCATATGAATACGTAATGCAACTTTCTAATCCAAAATTATGTTGGTCTTCAGCAGACTTCTCATCCACAGTAGTTGTTTTGGACATTTGCAGGTTGTTCATCATTTCGTAAACTCCGAATGTCATACTTACAGATCCCGCTTTAGTCCAAGTCTGACTTTGTGGATTGATGTCAGTTTGCTTCTCTTGATCAACATATATTCACAATTGGATCACGTACAACATATGCCTTGATCTGAATATTCGTATCGTCATACCTGGGTTTTTCGATGACATTCCGTTTACTCATAAGTTAGTTACTCATTACTACTAGAAAATGTGAGATGCATTATGTAGACCATCAGCTATCAAGGTGCTTGTAGTGTTATTTCATCATTTTCTAATGACCACATCTTACGAAATAATGTCAGAAAATACGATGCTATTACTTTCTTCATACTATCGTCTGTAGGCCTAAATATATGTGATTTGAGCTGTTGAGTACTGATCAGATTTCTGCTTCTCTGCTGAAGCTCTCTCTCATTAAGTAATCAAGGGATATACAGGATTCATGTAAGGGAAGATGCAAGCTCTTTCAAATAGCTTATTGCCAATAGTTGTTATTCTCAGTATCTTGATTCAATGACTGCTTGCTGTAGTTCTTCATCAACTGTAAGTTCAGTCGACCATTAGCTTCGTCATCGATTCTATTCTGAATAGCTTGAAAATTGTACTGAAATAATGCGTAATTTTCAGTGCTTTGTGTCTTCAGCTTGCAAAAATAAAGTTGATTACAATGCGTTTTCTAGTGAATACAATTTCTTGTAATTATTCTGTTGCTTGCTTAGTTTTAGAACTTGATTGTCTAACGCTTCCTAAATTCATTCAACACTCTACAGACAATGCAAATGGAAGTGAAATACCAAACCAATCTGGTACAGGCAATGAAAAGTGTTCAGAAAATGAAGCTGTTACTAATGCGTCGAAACAACAGGATTGTACAGTAAAAAGATTAATCAGTGTAAGAAATGAGTATGATTTGATATTGAGTTACCGACACAACTTATATATATATATATATATATATATATATATATATATATATATATATTATATGCTATTTTTCCCCTATCTTGTTATTCCACAAGTTTACTGAATTGTCTATCTCATTAATCAGGTAGAGAATGAAATAAATCATGTTTATTACCTGTTAAGCACTTAGTGCATACACATTCAAGTTATTATCACCGTGGAGACAAGCGATTGATTGTTTCACCAGGGAAATGAAATCATGTATTTCAAATGATTAGATCCTACCAATCATTAGATCTTTTGTAGTTTTATTGTCTACAACGATCTACTATAAGCATTTCTTATTTACCCTTAGAAATTAGATTTTGAGGTTAAAACAACGTTTCTTTTCCATCTGAAGACGTTGTTACAGCATGGAACTGTTACTCTCTAATGTCTTGTTTGTTTCAATGTTCTGTTGATTAATATGTATCTTTCTTGAGAAATGTTTAAACTAGTTTGTTTTTATGATTTATCCTTTTATTCAGCTTATGTGTCATTCTTGTATTGTATCTAAATAATTTTCATAAGTTTATTCCATTCGAACTTCTTGGTTTTGTTGCACACAAGTTCGCTCAGACGAAGCTTGCCACTGAACAACTTATACTGATCTACAAATTTCGCCAGCTAGATCACAGTGTCCTAAGCACCGAACAGCTATCACGCTTTTTCGGAGCTGAGCTCATCAGCGGTGTACATGGATTAGTTTAGATCACACATCCGAATTGTTCAAACCATCTGAATCTGTCTAGCTGACTTATTCACTTGAAATAACTTGGTTGTTTCCTTTTAAACTATTTCAAATGATTTGAAATGATTAGTATCTTTCTTCAAGTTAGTTGGTTTTATGAGGAAATAAGTTTCATTGGAATAATAGGTTTTAATGCACTTGAAGCAATCTAATCATCATATATTTACTTGTTAAGGCGCTTCATTTGAAAATGAATTGAGGAAGAACAAGCAATTTAAATGACTAGAAACAAAAGGATCAGATATTTTGAGCTGGAAGTTCTAGGTATTGTTCGTTGATATTCACTACCGTAAGGAATTCATAGCCTTGATAACATTCATTTCCTTTCGGAAATTCCGAAGTGTGTTTGTCAGTTCCAGAGTAAAAAACGATCACTTAGGTATTCATTCCTCCGTTGATCTTCTCTAGGATCCAAATATGTATACAGATCGGTCATTGGAAGGTAACCAATGACGTTTTCAAGGTATAAATGTCTTTCAGAGTGTCAAATGAGGAACACAACATATTTAAAACTTAATTACCGTTTAGTACATTCTTAGTGAATTTTTCGGTCTCAAAGTAGTTTTTACCATAAAATGAAATAAAGTTTGAGTACCTGAAAGTATCACACAACGGGTTTGTTCTAGTTTAGGACTCCCCAACAGTGCACACCCTTGAACCCGTCAGCACTGAGTCAATCAGTTGGAATGCGATGGCTGGTTTCTTTTACTTCTGTCACCTCGTGGTATAGCACCATAGAAATGTAGTGCGGTTGGTAAACAATGGTCTTCCTTCTGGACCAATTTATTCCTGAAGATCACCACTTTTCATTCGAACTTTAGAAAATGAGCAGGAGACAGTAATTCAATGGGTGCTCCTGACAGACTGGTTTATTTCTAAGTAGTTTTAATTACCCACTGACATCGATTAAAGAACCATTGAAAACTTGGGAATAGTGGACTGGTGGTCAAGACAACTGCACCAACATATTCCCTTCAAAAAATATCGTCTTTCACTATTTCTTTCACAGCGACATTGCTTTTTATTTGTATTACCTTTTTCATACAAAAACGGTAAACATTCATTTTATTTAACACCTTTATCAGAATGCTACAGCGCAAGTAAATATCTCATACCCTCAAGTTGTTCAAATAGAAACGGAAGAGAAATGCGCAGTACCTAGTGCCATTGATGATCAAAAGAAACCCCTTACTAGTGACAATCCTGAAATTCAACATGTGGTTCCTTCAAAAGCACGACCTCCCCCTTTGAAATTAGAATCTTGTTTATTCGATTCAGAAAATCTAAATAAGAACGTTGGTAGATTTAACCGATCAGCTGGAAAATCTACACATCGTACTCCACTCTCGGCTGATGCAGCGAATCGAAGTTGCAAGCGTAAATTTGATGAAAATATAGAAAAGTAAGTCTTTTTGTTTGGTTTTTTTTCACGGTTTCTAAAGCTGATCGTCAAAAACCATGTAAAGGTTTTTCGTTAGGAGACTGTGAAATTTTGAACATTATTTCAATGACTAACTGAAAGGTGAAAATAGGATATTCCTATCTATATGGACTACCTTTACTCACATGCTGCATTGTAATAAAATTAGCTGGTTTTTCTGTGAAATATCATTCACTAATTGCTAATTGCTAGTAGCGCAGTGCAGTTGTATTCTATTTCCACTGTAGTATCTAATAGTACATATATGGAAATTGAAGTGTAGCAATTGAATTCTGAACTGAATTCTGCTTTATTGCATTAATTGTGTGCAAGAATAAGTAGTTAATTTAGGTGTGGTTGGTCAAGAACCCATCTACGGTAGGACTAAACTGTAATGGCTGGAATTATTATTTTTATTATTTGTCCCTATGGTTCCTACTGGAACATAGGGCTTCAGTAGCACGTCGTCATTTCACTCTGTTTTCTGCAGTCTTTTCAAACTGGCTCCACGACTGCCCAGAAGCTTTCATTTTTTCCTAACACCATCTCCATATCATCCTTGCCTCGGCCACCCAACTCATCGTTTCCCCTTTGCGTTCCACTCGAGACCTTGGCCTGACGAGTAATTTACCTGAATGGTCTTCTCAGTGTATGCCCAATCCACTCCATCTCCACTTTCTTCTGCATATTTGTTGGGCGATGGGTTCTTGGTTGGTTTGTTAGCAGGTTAGAGTTCTTTGTTGCTTATTCTTATTATTCTAGCCATCTGATCTTCAGTGTCAGTATCGAGTGAGCTTAGGTGGCAGCTATTGATGAATGTTTGCAGCTTGTTGGAAATGCTTTTCGTGACGCTCAAAGTTTCTGAACCGTATAGAAGCACTGACTTGACTGAATTACCGTTGAAAATCCGGATCTTGTTCACGCTTTCTGCTGGTTGGAGTTCAGTGCAATAGACCTCCATACTGGTTTCAGCTTAGTGAAGGCCTGTCTTGCTTTTCCGATCCTGGCTTTGACGTCCTCATCTCTGCCGCTGCATGTAGTTGAAACGACGCTGCAATACCTGGGTAGGTGAAAGGGACTACTTCCTTTAGGTTTCTCCCGTTGATGGCTAATGGTGCTTGTTGTTATTGTTAGTTGGGTATCTTCATCAATTCTGTCTTCTCTATATTCATTTGAATTCCCGTCTTTGATGCCTCGCCTCTTCTGTCAACTTGTTGGTTTTTGCCTGTAGATCTTCGAGTTTATGTGACAAGACATTAGACATAAATCACCATCGGCGGCGAAATCCAAATCGTCTTCTCGGGTCTTTGCATCGGTCCAGCCAGCGTATGCCCATCTTCCCTAAGCTCCTCACAGTTTGTTTCATGATCCAGCCCAATCGACCAGAATCAGAAGATCATCGGTGATAGTAGGTGGCCTTGTCTTACCTCTGTCTTCACTTCAAAGGCGTCACTCAGCTTTCCATTGTGGGTCACTTAGCATGTGGCATCTTCATATAGCTGTTGAATGGGAATGATAAAAGTTTGTGGCACTAAAAATGTAGTTTTGAAGCAGTTGCCAAATTGCTTCTCGGTCGACGCTTTCGAAGGCCTTTTCAAAATCGACGAACTTGAGGTTCAGTTGAGTTGACTGCTATTCTATGTTCTGTTTTATGGTGATGTGTAGCGTTGCGATTTGATTCGCACATGATTTGTTCTTCCTGAAGCCAATCAGCCATCCTTTTCCTTTCGTACTTTGAATCAAACGCATTTTTTAGTCTCTCCAGGATGATTCAGCTTAATATTTTGCTTGGGGTAGACAGTAGAATGATTCCGCACCAGTTCTTACAAAGACTTAGGTCTCCCTTCTTCGGGAGTTCAACAAAATAGCACTTCTTCCAATCGTCAGGTACCTTCCCTTCCTTTCAAACCTTCTGCAGTAGTGGTGTGAACGTGCCTGCTGTTGTCTGTGCGTCTGTTTTCAGTGCTTCCGGTGGAATTCCACCTGATCCTACTGCTTTCCCGGATTTCAGCAACTTTATGGCGTTCAGGACTTCTGCTTTTGTCGGAGAGCTTGTGTTCACTGATAGTTCTGTGGCTGGGCTGTTGGTGGTATTTCTGGACGAGTTGCAGGTGGCGATGGTGGTGGTGGTCGATTCAAGAGTTCTTTGAAGTGGTCAAGCCATTGTTTCCTTTGTTCCTCCTTTTGGAAACTAGGTTTCCCTCACTATATTTCATTGGTTTCATCTGCGTTGATCTCTTCACTTCCAGATAATAACCTGGTTATTTGATATATTGTTGTCAGTTCTCTCCTGCCAGCAGCCTGTTCTGCTTCACTTGCCAATGTGTCGTAGAAGTGTGTTTTGCCTTTGTGTGCACTTTTCTTCACTTCTTTGTCCAGTGTGGTGTTTTATAGGTTATGTTCAGTTCGTCTTTTCGTTGTTCATCCTTGGACTGGTTCATCTTCTGCTTCACCATCATTGCCTCCTCTATCATCTTCCATGCATCCGTCGAGATCCATTCCTCGTCTTGTTTCTTCTGCCTCCTAACACAGTTATTAACGTTGCTTTCCATATCTCTGTCAAAAGGGTTCGAGTGTTGTTCCACGCAGGTTCCTTCAGGGATGTTGCTCAATGTCTCACATTTTGTGCTGATGACTGCTGATGTGAAGATGTCCCTTGTAGTTTTGTCCTTCAGTTTCTGGATGTTGAACTTGAACTGTGGTCTATCACCAGATTCTTTGGAGGCTTTCAACTTGATTTTGAAGGTAGGTTGCTTGCACTAGATAGTGAGTGATGTGAACCTACATCTGTTCCCCTTCTTGATATTGTGTCAAGTAGGCTGCATCTCCACTTTCTTCACATTGAGATAAAGTCGATCTGATTTTCAGTGAGTCCTGCTGTGAGGCGAAATCCATGTGGCTTTGTGAATATCCTGAAGTTTGTAAACACTGCCTCCAATCACCAAATCTTTAACTACTCAGAAGTTTGCAAACACTTCTCCATTCTCATTCATTTCACCGACTGCTTCTCGACCCATGGTTAGTTCTCTTCCTGTGTTGTCTGCTCCCAGTTTAGCATTCATTCCGCCCATTAGAATTTTGGTGTCTCCAATAGGAGTGGGTCTTGTTGAGTGTTGATTGCAGTTGTTTGTAGAATTCCTCCTTCTTCTCTTCATCTGCATTATTTGTAGGTGCGTGGCGTGGCGTGTGGTGGCGTAGCATTGTACGATTGTGACTAACTTCCTTCCTTTTGAGTTGAACCTTGTTGTCATGATGCTGATGGTGGAGTAGATTGGTTCCCACTGCATGACAGAGAGAGAGAGAGCTTTGAATGCTCTTGGGAGGGGGACATCATGATAGCCACTCGAAAACTCAGCGTGCTGTGCTCGTGTTTGTAGTTGTTGTCTGGGTGACAATATTGGAGTAGATTAGATAATTGGTTTTTTCCTTCCGGTGCGAACTAGTGAACTAGTTAACTAGGCGAGGTTGTAGTGACTGGAAACCTCCAGGATAATCAGTCAGGTTGAAAATAATCTATTCAAGCTATTGGTTCATTTACCATGTTGTTAACACCCTATAAACCTTTGATGAATTACGACGTAGATCGTATTGCAGGTTGTACGTGAGATTTGTTAGTGTTATGTTATTGAAACTTTTATATTCTATGGCCATTAACGATGGACAGATTTTGAGTGTCAGCCCCCAGCATTCAACAAATTCCTAGTTAATTCTTGACTCGACTTATTAATAGAGAAGACACGATGGACGTGTAGAAACGTGTATTGGGGTCGAAAAACCGAAGATCAAAACAAAGGAAAGTACAGCTAATATATGTATATATGGTTCTCTGTTTAAAATAATGCCGTTGATTGACCAATCCACCTTCTGTCCGTCTAACTATAGAAGTGATAACACGAACTACATTTTGATTGGTTCATTTTTAGACTAGTCGTTTCTTTCCATCTCCATATCAGTTTGTGAAGGTGATGTGATTGAAATAGATCGATGTGTTGTTCGGAGACTTGAATGCAACCTAGGAAGAGATGACTTAAACAAGAGTGGGTAAATTATAACTTAATGAATGTATACATACATTTGTCATGACAAGCTACAGGTTCTTGGAATATACAACCAAAATACAAAGAAAGGATACTTTCAATGGATAAAGGATGTCTCGAAAAAATCTATCCTAACATTTTTGCGAAAACATTTACCATTGGGTATCATAATACACACAGACACTTGGAAGTCACATATGCTTTTATCTGAAATAGATTACTCCTATCAACCTATTGTTCACAAAAAGTAATTCATTGATTAGACAACTGGAAGGCAGAGAAACAACCTTGAAAATATGTTGAGTCGTTTTATAAAGTTCTTAAGACTGTTGAAGGGATCATGAAGAGAAAATTCCCAAATATCATTTAAATGATATTGTCTCATATAGAATAGTGGCAATGTAGACAATGGTATGGTTTCACAAAGATGATTAATCTATTTAAAATCTAGATATTTTTGTTGTTCAGGTAAAACATATTAATAAATTGTAAATGAAATATCACTTTCCACATCAACTACTGTGTCCGTCATATTCTTGATTCTGATTGGTCAATGCATAGTGGTAGTGATTCACCATCACTAAAGTTTGGTTCTATCCCCATTCGCACCCAGGTTATCTCCTTTTTACTGAGGTAGCATTCCAACTGAAGAAGTAGAACTGTTTTTGCATCTTTGTGTCAATTACATAAAACTGAAGTTCATTAGGTACCCGCATTTTTGTGATGTTTAAGCTGTCAACAAGGTAATCTGACTGTAAACTTAGCCATTTTGAAGTAGTCACAATTCACTATGAACGCCGGGCTGTCTAGTGTCAGTTATATTCATCATATGTTAGATCAGACGACTGGCGTTATGCGCTTCGAAAAGCAATAAAATTAGTCTCAGTCTGGAATCTATGACAAGATGACTCAATTATGTCGTTAGCGTTGTTATTACAATAGATAACTTCGTAAAGATGCAGGTATTCATCAGCCTTTGTTTATTTTTGTGTGCAAACTTATGTACGTAAACACAAGATTTCTTCAAGTTTTATAGAGGCAGACAAAACACTTTTATATTCATGAATGTAACCTCTGTGACAGATGAAACGTTTAGGTACGATGGTTGATAATTACCCAAGCTACTTTACTTCATGTAAACGCTGCATGACTGTGTCTGTCACCAACAATTTTCTCAGCTCAACCGACAGCTATGATCTCCCTCAAGATCCTAGTCTTACGTAATCACCCGACAATTCTAAAGAAAGAAAGAAACCTATCAATCCTGCTTCAGGTTATCTTGTTGACAAAGAGACCTCTGCTTCTCTGTAACTCTGAACAGTTCACTTTGAGTAACAAAAATCCCTAGTATGTGATATATTTTGTTCCAAAATAAATGCCTGGTAGAGGTGATACATATTTATGAGTTGAAATATTTCAAAATTGGTGCTTATAATGAAGCGATATAAAAAAGACGAATTATTTAAGCTGATTACTTTCCGAGTACCCACAATGATAAGTCAGAGAAGGAGGTTTCACAATACATACGGAAACAGAGAGTTGAAAACTTGAATAGCTTTGATGAAGCTCTAATTGAAGTAATTATTACACTGGCTATTGCTTGCGAATGGATTTTCACAGGTGCTTTGAGAATTGTGATAAAATATATTAGTGGAGCCAGACCGATTGAATAAGGAATGTGGAAGATTAAGGAATATGTGTTTTCGAGGACCGTGTTATTTTTAACCAAGTGTATGAAATCAGAAAACAAAGTGACTCAATGATTGTTTATTTGGCTGTGTATTTTTGCCAATGAGCATTTCTCATCTCTTTAACTTTAAGAGTTTTTTTTTTTCTGTCCATCAATTCACCGTTTTTCCATTTTCTGTAGTATTTTCAATAGAATCAATTTTCGACGTCGATTTTCGTATCTACCAAAATTTAAGCCAAACTCTACTGAAGAATTGGTGTCACCAGTGTGTATTAGTCAGGTGCTGGTGGCTTCTACGGAATCTGATCTACAACCAGAAAGTACTCAGTGTAAGAAATCTTGCGGTATTTTTAACAGTTTTTCCGTTTCACAATCAAAATGTATTTGAATTAAAAACCATATAGTGCTTTATTTGATTACGACCACCACTTATCACACAGAAAAATGAATATTAGTCAAAAGCAGACATATATCTGAATTAGAATAGCTATAAATGGAATTTGAAAATCCACAGCTGCTCGATAACACATTCAAAGTTAAATGAACATTGTAGAAAAGTTCTTCATCAATATTTATGTGTAAACGTGTCCATTATTCTATATGTTAGTATGTAATATTTATTTCGTTGTGGAATATGGAGTCAAATGTGCCTTTTTCTTTCTTGAGAAACACTGAAATTGTTTAAGTCGATCGAAGGAGATTAGTTCTGCGGATCGATTCATACGATTTGATATGTCATTATGTTAGATATACATAGCTATATAGGAGTGAAATCTTGAATTATAACCTTGAACTTCACCCTTGATGGTTTCTGAGTTCCTCGAAAACAGAAAAGAAGCAGCAAAAACGATAGAAGTTTATTGTCCAGTTGAATATGTGCAAACATTAATGGTTAATATACATTTGTTGATGACCTTGGAAGGTTCTACACTTTTCTAGAGGGTTTTTTAATCAACTGGAGTCTCACACGTATGATCACGTGGTTTTTCTCAGATGTTCGATATGCCATGATTGACTGTGAAGGCTTTTTAAAGATAAACAGACTTCTTTGAAGAATCTAGAGGATACTGTAACACTCCATAACACAATTATAGACTCATATGCTAGTGGGATTGCTGACTGGTACCACTGAAGTCTTATTATCATGTCATTTATTGAAATCATGCTGCAGATTGCATGTGATCAAAAGTTATTGGTTGCTCACGTTGAGTATACATCGTTTAACAATTTCTCATCTATAAAAGACACAAATAGCATTTTTAAAAATTATTTCAGGTGACTAAAAGTCATTTCATAGTTCAAAAGGTACTGTATCATGCAGGAATAATAGCGGAGCCCCTAAAATATACCTTCGTTTTCCTCAAAGATCTCTAAATAAAGGCAAGAATTCACTTTTTTTTACCACATATGTTTTTCTAGTTTATAATTTCCTTAGTTTTATATATTTACATGTCATTTACCATTCATTAGATGATTCAAAACTTCCAACAATGATTACAGATACTAATCAACAACTGTATACACTTACTTCTCCAACTTCTCATCTCAGTGATTCTGAAAATATCCAACAAAGTTTGTCACCAAGGCAGCTTGTGAGTATATACTTGTTGTACTTTTTTCCTCTTGGTTTTTTGTTACATAATAAATCACTTGTCGATGAATTTTTCAAGCCTTTTACTATCATATAAGCATGAGTGATTTTCAGTCTTGACTTACAATCTTTATGAAAGTGTTATTATACTTTCTTTTAGATATCATAGATTTTTGTGAAATTCTCAATAACTATTGGTGATAATTTAATAAATAATGGGAACAAGGAAGATGTTATTCTAATCATTGAACAGATTATTTCATAATTTTTCCCCCTTCTCTAAATTGAGCACTGAAGCATACAATTAAGTGGAATAGAATCTTAGTAATAAATGAACTGAATTGTTTAGATGTATATTGATCATTTCTACTTATAAAGTCACTCACTCATTGCATGTCGTTGAAATCAGAGTAAAATAATGACTTTAAGCAGAATATGAAAGTGTATATAACTGCTATGATTGATCAATTCATTGGTGTAAATTATATCATCGAACTAATAATGTTACACAACTAAATGACATTTACATTACCTATTCATGTATATTACTCTGTTAAAGATTTCCCTATTAGAAATAATGCAGTTTATAGATACTTATTAACTCTTCTATAAACAACCATTGGAGCAAACAATTATGTTAACTTTCACTATTCTTCTTCAGAATTCTCGAGATCTAGGACACCCTAGTGAATTAGTTCATAGGGATAACTTGCTCGTTTGGGTTACCTAACTTAAAGTATTATGAATGCCTTAGTTATGAATCTGAGTATGTTTGGTATGTGTTTCCTACTTTTCATATGACAGATGATGGTTTACAACTGATTTGTCACTAAGACTTGGATTAAAGATGAAGGGTGAATATGTTGAATGTATTTTTGAATTCACTTAAAATGTGAATTGACTATTATCAGTTGATTGGCAAAGAAATGTCAACATAGATACAAATGGTCCCTTTTTGAAGTCATCAACTTGAATTATTTCTAGCACTGGTAGTATATCCAATTAATTACCAAGAGATGAATTTACTGAGGAGCAGTCATTGGTGTGTTATTGAACTTCTGTACATATCTGTCAAATCTTTTCCCATGGTATTTATGCGCACGAACTAAGTAGTGTGAATTATCTTTAAGATTCTGAAAAAATAATTACAATCAGCTGATGAGGTTATTAACCTGGACAATTGATAACGCTAAGGTTTATGCTATGCATGCCAAGTCACTGTTCACATTATTATTGCCCTGAGAGAATAAGTAATATTAGATTGGTATAAGGTTTGAAATAGCCACAATAGAACATAGCAATAATATATGCATTCTGTGACTGTTGATCAATGTTACACGAACTGTAGCTCAGTTCTTTGAAAACCTTGATAGCATGATCAAAAATCAATCACAGTGATGCTTAAAACCCTACCATTTATTATCCTCAGAATGTCAAACATTTCTTTGCAAAATCGTTTTAGTTATTTGAATTTTTTTTTACCTACTTTGACTTTCGCTTTCTATTTTGTAACCTGGACTGGTGGTCTTCGTATACGAAAGTCTGTGTTGCTATCACTACTTTTTTCGAGTTAGTTCACACAATATATTTACTATCAGTAACTTTGACTGTTTAAATAACATGAAGACAGCTAATTTTAACAAGAATATTTTTGAGACAAAACAATTACACAAATGGACAGTAAACTATCTTTATTAAGTCAAACTAGAAAAAAAGTGCTTTTTTGGCTTTAAGAACGTGACACCGGGAGAATAAGAACCGTAATTGTAATTTCGTATATTTTCAGGTGATTCATAGAGTCCACATAATTCACTCAGTCAGGGCATGTACAGTCGTATTTCATAAGAATATACTAACTTCAGTTACTGTATTCCACGCAAGAATTCGATTACATAGTTTCACTGAGCATTTAGTGAGAAGTGAAAAAATATGTAGTTATTTCTTTGGGATTTATACATAATTTAGGTACTTGATGCATAATGAACCTTCGTGAAGCTTGAAGTTTGGTTATATCTATTCATTCAAGAATTTCTTACTGTTAATGGGTAAAATTCAAAACATTAGTCGTAAAGAGGATACAACATACACTCTGATATGTTTTACTAAAGAATAAACTCATTTACTCACCATTCTATCACTGATAACCTTTTAAAATGATATTTTACTTCAAAAAATCGATATGTGATTATCTTTCTCATAAGTTAATTTCATAATTCCCGAAATTTCTACATTTCTCAATAAATTTCATTTTGTTAAAACATTTTTTTATACGATTGGTCATTGATATTCTCTGGAAGTTCATGAGGCTTTAATTTGAAATATAATCTTATTAAAATTTTGTTTAAATTACTGACAGGATTCTACTGTTCAATGTCCACAAAATGAAGATAATAGATTTTTTGGTCGTAACTTTCCAAATATCACTGAAACTAAATGGGTTCGTTCAACTAATTTGCGATCACAAATTTCTTCATCTTCACCAGTTCATCTTATGAAAAATCATCCAATAGCTCCAAAATCTACTCGGATTAACGCTAAATCACCATTGATCTCTCAAATATCTAAAGTGAACGGAACAAATTCTAGATCTGTGTTACATACACGTCGTAAACTTGTTTTGGAATTATTTCGAGAATATGGGTTGTTTCCATCAAGTAAGCTAATCATATTGATATTAATTAGTAATATGTATATGTTGTTTCTCAGTTATATCTTTATCATATATGACGAGTCAAATGATGATAAACTACTGGATTGGAAACTCATGAGGTGTATCAAATGTACATGAAATTTTAAATAACCATATATGAAGGCATTTATGTATATAGTCCACTTATTTTCATAACTGCATTATTCAATACAATCAAAATTACAATTATCACTTGTAATATACACTATCCTCATAACTATCCATGTTACTATCGTAATTGTCCTTTGATTTTGTTCATGTAACCTAATTAACGACATTATATCTGCCTTTATTAATGAGTTACATAAACTTTCCTATGAAGATATTGTTACACACCTATTGTTGTTATATTTCTCTAAAATTACTTTTGTTTTATTACTACATTAGGTTGTAAAGCTTGTGCATAACAAATAACTCTAAAAGCTACCCTAGAAACTATTGAAATAACCAATTAGATTCCTTTATTTAGACTGGAAAAGTAGTTTTTTGTTTCTCACAAAATAACGAAACTTAATTGGCTATTTCAGTAGTTGCTGAAATAGCTTCTGGAGTCACTCGTAGATAACTGAACTAGTTAATTAAATTTTCAATCAGAAAATTACAAAATTGAAGCCAGCTGTGTTTACAAAAATTTGAACAGAAAGCTAGTGGTCGAAACTTTACGCTATGTAGCCTATTGTGAAGTGCACAAGCTCGTTTAATGTTTTTCGCTTGTAGGCGTGTAAATATCTGATGCAACAGATAAAGTTTGATAAGTATTCGAGAATAATGGCCCATCATTAGTGTCTTAACCTATAAACAGAATTATTAGTAATTAGTCTCAACCCTATATATGTTACATTGGGCTATGTTATTGTATATTGGATAACGTGTATATGCATTTGTTTTTTGAAGATGTGTTATGTGCTAACATCAGAGAGATTCACAAGCATGTATCTAGACTGTTTATCCAATAGACACTCAGTTTTTCTTTTTTAGCATATATCACAGTTTTAAATATCCACAAGTTCAGACTTTAAATGATTATTGTATTGTGAGGTAGTATTCATCACGAACTGACATCATTTGGAGAATCATTGAAAACCTAGGAGCACTGGACAGCTGTTTTGCTCTGGTATAGGACTCCTCAACAGTACGCACCCATAATTCGGCTAGAAATCGGAGTCATAACCTTCAAGTTTCACAGTGAACGGGTTAGCCACTCAGCCACTGATTCGCAGTTTCCAACTTTGTCAATTCACGATATAGCACGACCATCACCCATGGTCTTCAGTAGGCATCCGCTTCACTTCTGACTCGTTAGCCTCCTCAGGTCACTGCCTCTCATTAAAACTTTGTGTTATTCACCTGGAAGCACGTCACCGATGTGCAGTATACAGTAATACATCTTGAGGTGAATGGGGATGATTGCTTTAATCATTTATGTTAGTATATAATAAGCTCTTAAATTGTTAAATGTTTTGCATACTTTTACCTAAGACAATATGCTAACAATCCTGTTAATTTTTATTCTTTTGTATTTAGTCCCTGTAATTACTCGTTTTCAACAATGTTATGCTTACTACTTTCCAAGTCGTCAAGCTTTACAACTGAAAATACGTGAAGTTCGTAGACGAATTATGCAAGAAAATACTGGCTCACATGAAAAGTCTATTGGAAGATTATATAATCATTTAGTTGATAGGAAAACAATTGACGATGATGATGATGATGATCATGATGATGTAGAGGTAGAAATGGCTAATGTAGAAATTCCATTAGGAATTAAATCAAAGCTTTCCTTACCATCAACCAATATCAATAGATGTTATAATAACCATACAGGTATGATGTTGCCATCAGTTTTAATCACTGGCACTCACTCGTCATTATCGAATCCACTAGCAGTTTAATGCAATGCATAATTTGCTAACCATATAAATTCTTCAACTTTTTTTTTCTTCTATTATCACACTTTACTTTATACCGCATTACTTTGACATATTCTTTATGAGCATAGATTGCATCATTAATCTATTGAACTCATACAATATTCCAGTGAATTTCTAACTTATCATTTTTAAATCTTATCAGCATTCATTTGTTCTCTCCACGTTTATATACTTATAACATTATTCCATGCTATATGAGCTTAGTATCTTGATTGTTTTTTTAACCACATTGTCATAGTTTTAATTATCATCTTTCTTTTTATTTTCTCAATCAGATATCCTATTCATTAAATAATTTAATTCTTTTATGCTTACAACCGAAGTTTTATTTATATCCTATATGTGCAATTAATTATCTTTTGATAAAATATACTTACACTATTTCTATACTTACTGACTAATATATGTATTCTGATCATGACTACTATATTCGGTTTATATATATACATATATACGCATACATTATAACCTTATTCCAGTCTTATCATTTAATCAGTTTATCTGAAAGGTATCGTTTCAATTTGTACAAATCTGAGGATTTTGGAAATATTTCAAGTTGTTATTCATCGTAGACTGACATCAGTCGGAGGAACAAAGGGACCTAGGAGTACTGGACAGCTGTTTCATCCTAGTATGGGACTCCTCATCAGTGCGCACCCACGACCTTCGGGTTCCGTGGCCAGCACGTTACCATTGAGCTACTGGGTCAGAATCCAATGGTCCATATTTCTAACTTCTGTTAGCTCATGCTATAGCGCAACCGCCACTAAATATCATCGTTGAGTAACTGTCCTCACGACCATCAGGCTTCGCCCCCACCAGTCATGATTTCTCGTTGGAACTTCGGGAATACCTCTCGAAGCTAGTCACCAATGAGCACCAGTTCAATTGAATTTTGAGGGAGTTGTGGGGATTTGAAAACATTTCAAGTTGTTATTCATCGTAGACTGACATCAGTTGGAGGTCGCGCGTTGGATCCCTATCGGGGTCGTGGGTATACACTTCTGAGGAGTTCCATACTAGGATGAAACAGTTGTTCAGTGCTCTTGGGTTTCCTTTGTTCCTCTAAATGATGTCAGTCTACGATGAATAACAAGTTGAAATCTGAGAATATTACTGCATAATTTGTTCATACACACTTTATATATGACATCAATTTGTCAGTTCATAGAAATGTAACTTCTATCTTTTGAAAACATTTAATCGTTTGCTTGAAGAGTAATGCAACGGTGTGAAGTTAAACACCCCAATAAATTCAGAATTCATTGTGTAAGTGCATTTGACCAGTTGTTTGAATTCTAGAACACTATACACTTGAATGGATTTTTTTTTTCAAATTATTGGTTTCAAGGTACTAATTTTATAGAAACACTCAATTCAAAATGTGATGCATTTCAACTGTTTTCATCAAATAGTTGGTAAATGGATAATACTACTGATTTGACCAGTTGAGTAATAATAAACACTCAAACAATACTAACACATTGAGATACTAGAGCAAGATAAGAATATCTACTTTTTCCTATAGTACCATATACTTCACTGATTCATAAAAATATCCGAAGATAACGATGCCTTTGTGACTATAAAGAAAATATTTTATTCGACAAAAATACCTTATTCCTATACAGTTTTCATGACCATATAAAACTACTAGGTTAAAGGTTAACTAACTTGTTTTGATTGGTCAAGTGTAGGAAAAATTTTTCAATAAAGTGTATCCTGACTACAAGATGATGAGGAACAAAATTTGAAATCGAAAACATTTACCTCAATGACTAATGACTTGGTATATTGATTCCCATTTAGGTTATTTACTATCACTTGCATTATTCTCATGCACTAGTGCAATACAAACAATAGAAAATGAATTTACTCAGGTGGATTTGAATATAACTGTAACCCCTTAACTTTGCAGAAGTTCCTGAACTTTGCCGTTAGTGACATGTGTTAGGTAACAGATAATAATGTTTACTGACCAGTATTTGTAAAGTGAGTTCTGAATTTGTTTATGACTCTGAAAGTTGAATCCTCAAACTTTTATCCTACAACCCTCAATATATAAAATTTAAGTTAGGTACATCTGCTCGAAGTACTGAGAACTATGGAAGATTTATGATGTTTTATCAATGAACACCTAATTGTGATCTACTATAATATCCGAATGTTACATTTCCTTCGCATATTTCTTTCTATACAATATTAGGATTTTTTTAACGCATGAATGTGATTTGGAGTTCCAAAATTAAATTTTTATTAGGCATGTCACAGGTTAACTGGTTTTCGAGGGAGTAGTTTTTGAAAATAGTGTTTTCTCCCTCATTATAAAGTAAATCCATAAATACACGACGGATAACTGCTACCTTAACGTGGTGGTCGGGCTTGCATGTCAAAATGGTCCAACGAGCAATTCTGGTAGAACGCTTGTTCTCTTGATGTCTTACTATGCCGGAAACAGTCAGTTGAACAGTGTTAAGACATACAATAGGTGCCGTTATAGTGTAGATCATTAAGCTTTTATAGGGGCCCGTGGGCGAGGTCGCACTGCTACCTGGATGAGTTGCAACACCGCTTAGGTTATATCCCTCGGCTAACCAGCAGTACAGCGCTGATGCTGCCTTCCGTATGACAAGAAGGTGGACTTAGCAAAGGCCGGCATTAAAAATAGCATATTTCCCTTTACCCCATGGCACACCGAAGCTGGTGATGTGTCTATAGTCGGATTTGCAAAAAATAAACTGAATTCACGGACGAGAAAAAAGATATTGACCTCAAAGAGAAACTATAATATTATTGAATTATTATTATTATTATTAGTCCCTTGGGTTCCTAACGGAACATAGGGCTTCAGTAGCACGTTTTCATTCCATTCTCTTCTCTGCAATCTTTTCAACCTGGCTCCACGACTGCCCACAAGCTCTCATTTCCTCCTCGCACGATCTCCTCCATGTCACCTTCACCACGGACGCCCAACTCGTCGCTTCCCATTGGGGTTCCACTCGACGGCCTGACCTGGCGTGTGATGTCCCCAATCGGCCTTCTCAGTGTATGCCCAATCCAATCCACCTCCATTTCCTTCTGCATATTCGTTGAGTGATAGGTTCTTGGTTGGTTCGTTGACAGCCAGCCAGAGTTCCTTCTTGCTTATTCTTTCTGGACATCTGATCTTCAGTAACGAGCATAGGTGGCAGTTGTTGATGAATGTCTCTAGTTTATTGGAAATCCCTTTCGTAACGCGCCAAGTCTCTCAACCATCACACAGAAGCACTGACTTGACGTTGGTGCTGAAAATCCGTATCTTGTCCGCATGCTGAGTGCAGAAGATCTCCACACTGGCTCCAGGCTAATGAACGCCTGTCTTGCTGTCTTTCCGATCCTGGCTACTTTGACGTCCTCATCTGTGCCGCCTGTAGTTGGGACAGATAGGTGAAAGAGTTTACTTCCTTCAGGTTTCTCCCGTTGATGTTGATTAGAGTTTGTTGTTGTTGTTGATGGTGGTGTTGGTTGGGTATCTTCATCACCTCTATCTTCTCTATATTCACTTGAAGTCCCGTCTTCGCTGCCTCTTCTGCCAACTTGTTAGTTTTCGCCTGTAGATTTTCGAGTTTGTGTGACATTAGACATAAGTCATCGGTGAAATCCAGATCTTCTGGGTTCTTTTCATCGGTCCAGCCAGTGTTTTCCCCTCTTCTCACTCCCCACTGTTTGTTGAATGATCCAGTGGACCACAATAAGAATATCATGGGGGATAGTAGACAACCTTGTTTCACTCCTGTCTTCACTTGAAAGGCATCACTGAGATTCTCATTGTGAATTACTTGGCATGTGATGTCTTCATATAGTTGTTGAATGAGGCTGATAAAGGTTTGTGGTATTCCGTAGTATTGAAGCAGTTTCCAAGTTACCTCTCGGCAGATGTTGTCAAAGGCCTTCTCAAAACCGATGAAGTTGAGGTTGGGTTGGGTTGACTGCCATTCTATGCCCTGTTCTATGATGATGTGAAGCGTTGCAGTTTGATCTGCACATGATTTGTACTTCCTGAAGCCTGCCTATTCTGGTGGTAGTTTTCAATCTAGCGCATCCTTTAGCCTCTCCAGGATGATGCGGCTTATTATTTTGCTTGCTTTGGGTGGACAGGAGAGTTATCCTGCGCCAGTTCTTGCAAACACTTAGGTCTCCCTTCTTCGGAAGTTTGATAAGGTAACCCTTCTACCAATCAATTCACAGGTAGCTTCCCTTACTTCCAGACCTTCTGCAATAGTGGTGTGAGCATGTCCGCTGTTGTCTCTGCGTCTGTTCTCAGTGCTTCTGGCGGTATCCCGTCTGGTCCTGCTGCTTTCCCACATTTCAGTAGCTTTATGGCGTTCAGGACTTCCACTTTTGTTGGAGGATTTATGTTCACTTGTAGTTCAGCGGCTGCATGTGGTATTTCTGGACGAAGTGTAGATGGTGGTCGATTCAAGAGCTTCTTGAAGTGGTTGGCCCATTGTTTCCTTTGTTTCTCTTTTTTCGTAATTGAATTTCCCTCATCATCTTTTATTGGTTTCATCTGTGTTGATCTCTTCCCAGATAGTAACCTAGTTATTTGATACAATGTTGTCAAGTCTCTCTTACCTGCAGCATGTTCTGCTTAACTTGCCAGTGTTTCGTAGAAGTGTCATTGCGTGCACTCTTCTTTACTTCATTGTCCAGTGTTTTATACATTGCACTCAGTTCCTCTTCTCGTTGTTCATCCTTTCACTGGTTCATCTTCTACTTCACCATCTTCCTCTCCTCTATCAGCTTCAATGTGTCCGTCGAGATCCATTCCTTATCTTCTTTCTTCTTTCTTCCTAATACGACTGTGCAGGTTTCTTTCCACATAACTTTCAAAGATTTCCAGTGTTCTTCCACACAGGTTTCTTCAGGGATATTGCTCGTTATCCCTCATTTTGTCTTGATGGCTGCCGTGAAGATTCCCT